GAAACACCCATACTAACAACAGGTAAGCATTAGCTTTGATCTTACTTCTATATTCGGTAAATGTGCTTCTGGTATCGGTAAGCATTTTTATAGTACAGAAAAACGTATCACATCTGAATATTGTCTATTCAAAATCTTGCATGCCTATTACGATGTAAAACCTACGTCCCTTTTCATAAATTCACTTGTTTCAAATGTTGTCTGATTCATCAGGTTTTTTTAATTTGTCAAATTTCTATGGTTTTACTGTACACGTAAATGTAGATAAGAGGTTTTCAATTTAGTTTTGGAACATTTTATTACATTCAGAACAGATAATACATTCTGGTGTTCATTCTATGCGTTTATTATACTTGTTATATTTTTTGCTAAAACAAGCAACACAAATTGTGTAAGTTTTTTGTTTGTATGTTGTTTAACGTCCCTCTCGAGAATTTTTCACTCATATGGAGACGCCACCACTTGCCGGTGGAGAGCTGCAAATTTTTTCCTATACTCGGCACTTACGGCCATTGAGCAGTGAGGGATCTTTTACGTGCCAGCACCTACTGCGACACGGGACCTCGGTTTGAACGGTCTCATCCGAAGGACCGGTCTCCACGTCCCACAGTGGGATTCGAACCCGCGACGTAAGGATCAACTCCTTACGCCGCGACTCTAGAGCGAACGCTCTAACCACTGCGCCACGCGGGCGACCAAATTGTATAAGTAAATTAGATCTTAATTATATTCTCTGTATTCAAATAAGGAATACTTTTCGAAATTTTTTCAAATCTGTTTCATTTCATTTGCATAGATTTCGTATTTCTAATTACAGGTAATTACTTTTATGCTATTAGAAAAATCAACTGAGAGTTCGTAGAATGGAGACAAGTGTCACTTTATTTTTATAAATGAATAACTGGATTTTCAGTCCATATTCTTGCTTTCTTTACAGATGTACCTGATATTACGGGAGGTTCCACATCAGTATATGGAAATGTTCTATCAATATTTCTGATTATGCTTGCAGCTTCCTTGATTCACAGTTGATTTAATTAAAAAATTATTTGCTTTATCCCCAGAAAAATAATAAAAATATAGCTATTGTACAAATTATATTGGTCAGATCATTTCAATTTTTAAAATACTTTTTAATGAACCAAAATACATTGTACTATTATTGTTTAGAAACTTACATGCATTACAGTAATCACCAGCGACAGTAAAATATGTTCTTTTAATGTTTGTTGATTGTTTGTTTGTTAATTGGCTTTTCTTTGACTTTCATTGCAAGATTATTTTACTTATACTGTATCATCGGATGCCGATGAAGGACTTCAAATTTAAATGTATACTCGGTTGTCAAGGCCAATGAGCAGTGAGGGTTCTTAACCAACGCCTGTTGTGACAAGGAATTCGGTTTTAACGTCTGATCCAAAACACCTGCGACTCTCGCTTCAAGATACCGAGCCCTTGGCGAAGGAACAGTCACTACAAATTATAGCAGCAATTAAATGAAAACTATTTTTCTGTTCTAATTCTTGATTTTAAGTAATGATAACTTAGTCGAATATTTGACTTTAGAGTAAGGCGTCTAGTTCAGTATACCTTATGCAAGAAAGAAATTTGTATCAGGCTATTGAAAAGAAAATTTCTTATGTGCTCGAAATATGCTTTGGGATATTCTTTAATATCCTGTAATGATCAGAATCTGGAAAACCCTTATGCTATGTACTATAACACTTGTTATACGTTAAATCACTCTATTACAGAAAATTAAAGAAACACTAAATGAAATGAGATATTAATTCTGTTGAAAGACCGTGTGGTATCTTTCTCTTAATTACATTTACAAAAGTGAAATACTGTAAGTTATCTATGGTATAAAAGTGATATTTTTTCACACTGGGGGAAAAAAACTGTGGCATATCTCTCTTTTGTCCATGCCTTCACGAAGTATTTATGAAAAATTACTCCCTTACCTGTTATATGAAAGCCAGAATAATATAAATCATCCTGACTGAAACTGCCGTAGTCGCTCCAAATTGTTGTTTAACTCCATGTTTAAAAATGGCCTCACAGCCTACGACACTGCGTTACAGAAAGACAGGGCAAAGGTAAAAATGTAATAAATAAAACATTTAATGTCCTGTGGTTTGATATGGAATTAGTTTCACTCGTAAGATAAGATTATTTTTTAATTTCACTTGTGGTTTGCATTTGTGAAAATATAAAAAACAATTCTGCCCGACCTGTGAAATAAATTTCATATCCAACTACAAAACATTGAATACTTATTTTCTTCAATTCATAAATGATTGAGCGTAAAATAAAAATAATGAAACCAGAATATGACACAGAACTGAAAATGTTACAATAATTAATATTTCCGAATGACACAGTAATACATTATGATGAAAATAAAAGGCTTATCTTAAGTTTTTAAGAAAAATATCTGTTTATTAAACTCAGTAGCCATTATCATTTACCTTATTTTTGATATAACATTTCCGCTCTGGTTTCAATGTACAAATACTCAATTCGTATATCAGTATAATGATGAGTGAATTTCCAAAATTTCGGGGAAAATCAACAATATCTTTAACAGGACCACTGGGCGATTACTGAATCGACAAGTAAAACTAATGCAAAGCATCAAGTCGGTCAAGATCAAAATTAAGCAATTTAATTACTTAAAAGTAGATATCGAAGAAAAGAGCAAAATAATTCAGACTGTCTCCCCCTATCCCACCCCTAAAATACATAAATTGCAAGATAAGTAGAAATGGCACACTTCATGCTTTCAGTGCATTTGTTAACCGAATTGATTCCTCGATAATGAAATTCATTCAAAAATAAAAAGAATGTATTGTTATATTCAAATAAAAAAGAATAAACTTTCCACATGTGGATCTTTGTCACGTGATGATGCCGATGATTATTTCAAAATATACTTCACGGGGTGATGATGAACAACATAATTATAAATAAATACAATGTGAAGAAAAACTTATCTTTGTGTCTTTTGCAGCTGTAAAATATTCAAAAGAAATTTTACTATTTCTACCAACTTTTCAATTTTTCTTTATCATTTTTGCCATTTTGATATTAATATCCGGAAAGTCTAACGATCTGCTTTCATATTTTACATACTCCTATATTTGGGAGTTTTGGGAATACCTGTTCTAAACTCTTCATAATGTCTTAATGATTTTCTGATCAGAAAATGAAAATATTATTGACAATTATAACAACTGAAAGCAAGTTTAAAAAAAAAAACATTTATTCATAATTTTTATAAATTTTATCATTAACGAATCATTTTACAGAAAAAAAGAAGATAAAATCTTATTTCTCCATGTGCACTTTCAAACACAATCACAAATTGCGACAGATAATAATGTTTGCAACTTTTGAAGCGCATATTTTACGTTCTTGGAGTTCCAGAATATGCACCACTTGAAACCATTTTTGCCATGTGTTATACGAAAACATCCCTGTCACTGTAACATGTGCAATAGCTATACACTGTGCACTTTTGTTAACTCGTTAACGTTATCTTGTTCACAAGCAGATCATCTGCGCTAGCCAAGGGTTCCTGATACGCTACTCTTCTCATACCGTGTTAAAAAAAGTTGCAAGTTGTGACTGGAGTTAATCGACATCATTCGACCAATCAGCAATTTGTTTTTGTTTGTTTGTTTTTTGTTTTTTTTTGTAAATGACGATATTTGCGTTCGGTATATATCTTGACTCTTTAATATTGGGAATGAAAAACACAAGATAAGAACGATCCGTAAGATAACAAACCATTCTATGAATAGTTACATGTGTTATAAAATTTAGAATAATCATCATAATAATTTCATGATTCAATTAACTCTAGTATTTTATGAAGTATTAATTCGACATTCAATTAAATGAATCAAGCAGTAGTGAATTGCTATGTAAATGATTGTTAAATGTTTGACTGTGAATTTGTTTTGCTTCCGAACTTCTTAAGGCACAGCAGGGTTCTGTCTGGGAGGGGGAGCTTGCGAGCCAGCTTCTCTATTAATCTCCAATTTGTAACTGTCATTTTGGGATGACCTGGTATAAAAAGGGGTCAATTTCTATAATTAACTGTAGACTTGTTGGTTTTGAAGATGTCAGAGGAGCAATTGAGACGAGCGCGTGGAGATCTGGTAATTAATTAATTGCTTTGGTTTTCTTTGGGATTTAACAATTGACACCAAATATTTCACCGAGTTCTCTGGTAAATTAATTGAAGATCAGTAGTTTTCGGTGAAATTATATTGTGTTAGCTAAAATATTTAAACAGCTACACATCCCAAATTTTATTCTTTCTACTTAGGAAATTATTTTCAAGTTTCACCTAAATTATTTGAACGGTGTAACTAATTGGTGAATCTGAATCTCGGTGAACCAACTCCGAACTCCACCAAAATATTAACCAAGGTGCGAGTTCTGGTGTTCGGTAAAAAAATCAATTCTTGAGTATAATAAAATCATTTATTAACCTTAAATTCATCATTATTCATGGGATATTGGTAAGTTATTGGGTTATTAAAGAAGTTGGGATTAAAATGTGTTCACTCTAATTTTTTTTTTGTTTTGCATGCTTATATATTCATGTTTACATAAATAAATGGTAGAATAGAATTTGATTTATTTCTTAAAGAAAAGTAATTAAAAGGTTTATTATTTACCAAGGATTTATTATTACATTGGGATTTATAACTTCGGGATCTACCAAATTAGTGAAGTGTTGTGTAACAGTGTGTGATTCAGTTTGGAGTATTTGATAATTTTCACAATAAAAAAACCAAGTTCCCTATAAAAATTGTGTTGACGAGTTCGCCTCGCGTCACACATGTATATGGTGCCATCCAATATATTAAGCTACGTGCAAAATATGTGATCAAGAATCTATACTGAAGATGTAGAACATAACTCAATACCTTCTTGTTAATTATTCTTTAAAGACATTATTTTTTTAAAATAGAATCGTGATCACGTGACGAAAACAATCCTGTCTTTTGTCAGCACCGTATGCCAAGGGTTTATGAGGAGAGTAGCGTATCAGAAACCCTTGGCTAGCGAAGATGCAAGCAGATAAGTCGATCATGACCTCTTTTTGACCTCTTTTGCCTCAGTAAACAAAAAGTGTACCGAAGCAACACATTTTTTGCTTGCTTGCAATTAACGTACATGTAGAACCAATGGAGCAGTTTTCCTGTCTTCGAGCTGTAATTGTTTTTGTATTTTTGGTTCACGGCACTCATGTATGTAAGTATAATATATTGCATTATATGGTACCTTTGTTTAATCTAAACTCAATTTTTTATGTCTCATAATCACATAACAAAATGAAGATCGCTGACTACATTCTCATGTTTTTTCATAGATGAGTGAATTCTTATTCAGTATGAAGATTTTGTAAACAGTGACACCTCTATAGGCCGAAGATTCTTTTTATCTGAAAACTAAAATTAATATTCACTGCAAACCTTTAAAAGATGAGAAATTGTTTATAATTTGCTACGATTATAAATAACATTACCTGATTTTCTTAGAGGTAAAATTATATCCACTGCAGAAAGGGTTGACCCCAAAGTGGGTCAATTAATGTACTAAAGGTAACCCGAAATCAGTATGTAATGTAAACAAGGTAATTAATAACTGATGCGATCTATTGTTTAATGGAACTGGAATATTTCTATTAACAAACAAAAATTCAAATCCCTCTGCTCTCCTGATAATATGGAAATATTCTCTTGTCATAACTGCAATGCAATTTGACTCGGTATACATGTAAATGCTACACATTGGAATGTTGTGTACAGAGAAAAAAATCAATAGAAGGTTTATTTGTTAATCAAGCGTGGATCCAGGAATTTTTTCCAGGGAGGGTCCACCCCAGGAGAAAAAATTCCAACCCAAAAATTTCTTGACAAGCAAAAAGAAAAAAACAAAACAAAACAAAAAAAAAAAACAAAAAAAAAAACAAAAAAAAAAGAAAATCAATTTCCCAAACGTGAAAAACAACTATTTCGTGGTGGTGATGGTGGGGTCCACGTTTTCTAGGGAGGGTCCAAAGTCAATTTTTATTTACTTCAGTATAAAATTTTGATAACTCTGCAAATTCCAGGGGGTGGGATGGGGGATAGGTGTCTACATCCGCGCATGACTGTTTTATAACTATTTAGTAGCAATATGTTCGAGAGAATACAGCGCAGTACGATTTACTACAATACAGTAATACATATAATTTGAGATAATTAATTCGATCATTTAGGTAATTAAAACACACATCACCACAGGAGACCAGACTGACCGAATGTGCCTCGCGTTTGTCCGATTTCATTTCAAAGTAATGAGTTATCAACATCAAAATTCAAAATGTAAAACTGTAAATAAATAGAGTTTAGTTACACACTGAATTGTCGACGGATTTTCCCGTTATTTCCCGATCATGACAAGGAGCACACGGCTGGTGGACCGGTCGGCAGAGGATGCTCACTCCCCCATGGCACCTGATCCCACCTCTAATGTTTTTGGAGGTCCGTGTTTGCTCTGCTCCCAATTTGTATTGATTTAATGGATTTGGGCTTGAATACTGTTCGTCATCTCCATATTTCATTCTCAAATATGTTGCTAAAATCCATGTTACAATGTTTTCAATCCCACAATGACTTTTTAACCGCTAAACTATGACGTCACAGGTTATGACAGTGTTAAGAAAAGACAGAGGCAAAGGGAAAATCGAAGAAAATGTAATAAACAGAGAATTCAATGCTTTGTAGTTGAATATGGAATTTATTCCACTCGTGAGGCAGACTTTTTTTTTTATTTTCACCCGTAAAAAGTTTAGAAAAATTGTCTCAAGTAAATATACCAAGCTGTAAAAGCAAGAATACCAAGCTTCATTCATTATAGTTTCATTGTATATCAATCTTATAAAGGTTTAGCTACTTTTAAAAATTGTTTGTAGCAGCCATTTTCCACAGGGATGTAGCGTTTGGTTAAACTGATCAATCTTTGATCAACAGAAGTGACGAGGATACAATTATTTATCCCATGTTTACCCTTTTATCCCGTGGATATCCACTCAGTGGACATTTTTTTCATATCCCACTGCCGTGACGTCACAATAGGTTTTTGTGTGAGAGTGATGAAGTAAAATGAAGTGGATTCCTATTTAAAAACAGTGTAAAATATTGATAGTGATGTATAAAACATGGGATAAAAAGAATCTCCCATGATTTGTAGTTAGATATGATTTTTATCCAACTCATCGTGTGTTTTTATCCCCGAGCCAAGGCTCGGAGATAAAAAAAAACACACAACTTGTTGGATAAAAATCATATCCAACTACAAATCATGGAAGATCCTATATCTACCCATTTCTCTTTTTAACCTAAATATACATATGTATAATTAGCCTGGACTGTTTTTAAATATTATTTCAAAGTAGACATCGTCCTTGTTACTGCACAGATGACTCGATTAAACCTAGATATATATATTCATTTGTGTCTTTTTTAAGTAGATACAGCATACGATTTTCAAAAAAGAAATTCATGTCACAGATAATAATCTGACTATAATTGATATGCAAAGTTCCCTTTTAGTTATTTATCTATTTTCACAAGCTTCTTTATACATGAATCATGGCCTCGTTTTCACTTAAAATTGATACGTAAAGTTCCCTTTTAGTTATTTATTTTTTTTTTTTACAAGCTTTTAGTTATTTATCTATTTTTACAAGCTTCGTTATATCTGAATCATAACATAACCTCGTTTTCACCACCTCTCTTGTGTTCATTAATGGAGCACCAAGGTAAGGTCCTGGGTCTTAAGATTGAGATGAAAAATTTTTGCTTCCTTTATACTGCCATTGCTTTTGTATTGCTGGTTCAGGACTTGCATGTATGTAAGTATAATATATAAAGTATTTATTTCTTACCTGTTTCAGCAAAAATAATTTGAAGTATTTTCACCTAATACTAACAAGCTAAACCATCATTATATTTTTCCTGTTTATAATTCCTATTCAGTGGACATGAACTTTTTTTACAGGTGTTGTAAAGAGCTAGACACACAACATATTGAAGATTGGCATAGCATGTATTTTTAGTAATGGAAATACAACATAAGCCTGTCAGATAGAATATATTTTATAATTTGCTGAAATATTGATTGAGAGCAGGGAATGCTAACTCCTCGCTCCCACCTCTGATGTTTTTGAAGGTCCGTGTTTGCTCTGCTCTCGATTTGTATCGTTTAAATGGACTTTGAGATTGAACACTGTATGTTATCTCCATATTTCATTAAAAACTGCGATAGTTTACAGACTATGTTTTTTTTCCAAAATAAGGTCAGTGCTGAAAAATAACACGACATCTTTCGCATTTAATGTCTCACAATTTGCAAATATTGTGGATACATAACGTATCTCGCCAAATAATGGATCCGGAACATTTTAATTGACAAAAATTAGTCTGATAATTTAACAAAAATTAAATTTCTTTCTGAGATCCTGAAAACATTGAAATTATCACTGATTTATACTTAGTTGAAATAATAAAGTGTGGTTCCCTGACGCATCTGGTATGAATGCTAATTATCGTAATACGTAGAACAGAGAAAATCAATAGTAAATTTTCCACTTTTGCTAGCCAAGTGTCCGCTCTGCATTGTGTAACAGAGTGGTCTGAAAAGACACGGATTTCATGCAAATAAAGATTTGGCTGTCCAAAAAGATTATTTTATATTTTTTTGATATTCATTTCGACACTGATTATATATATATATATATATATATATATATATATATATATATATATATATATATATATATATATATATATATATATATATATATATATATATATATATATATATATAATAAAGATCCTTATCATCTTCGTGTGCAGTCTTATAATAGATGATAACATGTATCTGTCCGTTTCGATATTAATGAGAATATTCATGAAAAATCTTCCTTCCGCAATTTTTACTTGATTTTTAATCAAACTTTGATAAATGTTTGAAATGACAGACTGTTTGAATTTTTTTTTAAATTTTATCTAAGCATTCGTTACAAAAATTTATCTATGCATAATTTATAAAAGGGGTTTCTCCAATTACCTATTAATAGAATATTTTTTATTGTTCTCCTACAAAGAACTATATACGGTATGGGCGTATTCCTGCCCCCATAATAGTCAAATTTTGAAAATCTCTTGAAATGAGAAAAAGTGCATATATTGTATAAAATAATCCAAATTAAGACAATATATTCTGAAATTGGAAAAATTAGTTGGCTTTTCTTGTCTCTGTGACGTCACAAACTATTTGGATTTCCGTTATTTTAAAAAAAAAAGAGGCCAAAATGCACAGAGTTTGTTCAATTTTGACTATAGTATTTATAGAGCGCAAGCTTGCTCAGGTACCATATTCACATATTTCATTGATATTATCATTCTACACATTATATCAAAAGATCTAGTCTGAGCAGACTTGCGCTCGATAATTTCCAATCAAAATACCGACGTAAAATACACTATTTTCTCTCAAAATCATTGCAATTTGGAATTTACGTCATTTTATTGACGTCATATCTAAGTAATGATGTCATAGTTGATAAAAATATTTAATGCTTTGAAGTCTACAAATATCCACCTGGTTTAGAACATAATTAAAGATTTCTCCATCAAAGTTTTATTTTGGGGGCAGATACTGGCCACTACAGAATATAGTCCTTTCTTTTTTTCTTTTTTTTTTTTAAAGTTTTTGTTTGTGAGATCATAATAAATTTATTTGTTAATTAAAGATTTTTCAACTTAGTTTTTATTTAAATTAATTTTATTATTAATTCAGTGAATTAGAAACTACATATAGCACACATTAACTGATTTTTTTTAATTTAAATTATTTTTTTATTATTATTATTTTTATTTATTTATTTTGTAGATTTGATCTTTACATTTAATATCAAGGATACATGTGTTTTGAAAGTACTTTTAAAGCTTCTTAACTTTTACCTTGTTAATCAATCAATCATAAGCAAAACACAGAGTATGACATGTGTGTTACTGTGATGTTGTGTTAATAAATATGAATACCCCTGGTTCGTTGTTGTGACCAAAAATGGTTTTGTTTTCATTTTCAGATGTTACGTGCCGATTTAGTGCCGGTTTCAGGCTCAATTACCATGGACCTTATACAATTGGTCAAACGTATCATGGAACATGTAAAGTCGAATTACCTCCTGATGATAATCTCACAAACTTGGATGTGTACTGGAATTTCGGGGAAACCAACTATTGTCACAACGGCCAAAAAATATTGATAAATAGAAAATATACTTGTGGTGTAAATACGGTTCAGAATAAGACTTACTACGACCTGAGAGTCCCAGGTACAGTATGATAATCAATCATTTCCTATCACAAAAACCAGTTCTGAAAAAATAATCTATTGAGTATATATTGTTATATTTACATTTCCAATAAATTTCCCCTGTGATTCTTTACAAAATAGAATACAGTTCATTTTCTCATGAACAACCATGAATATCTCCATTGTTACGTCATAATACCTTACTTGACGTCAAAACTATAGTGCAAACTGTTTTGCTTTAAAAATGACAGTTGAATGGCGTTATTCGTGGCAAATGATCAGAGAAATAATTTAAATATAAGGAATGAATTTAATTTTTGAAGATTCAGGAGGTACATGAATATGGTACATGAACTACAACGCTTAACGCCGGCATATTCATCATGAAGTGCTACCGCGCTTCATGAAATATGCCGGCGTGAAGCGTCGTAGTTCATGTCCTCATGAATCTTCAAAAATTAAATTCATTTCTTAAATATATCGTTTATTCTAATATATACAGATTACTCTCTCTCTCTCTCTCTCTCTCTCTCTCTCTCTCGTACTGAATACTCAAGGTTGGTACATGTTCATTAAATGCAACAAGAGATCCAATACTTATAAACACACTCACCACTCACATCAAGACAATAACAAACAATTGTTTGTAAGAAGTACCCACAAAAAGAAATCTCTTATCAGTTTATTTTAATGTTTAATTTACTGCCAGTGATTCTCAATTCAAATTTAACCAACACAGATTATTATACACATCAATAAAATTATAGATGATTATCATTATAGCTATTAAAACAAGTTTTAAATTGTATTTGTAAAAATTCAATCTTTTAAAAATGAAAGAAAGGAAAAAGCCATATTCAGTATAGGGTATTTTTATTCTCACAACTTAATCCATTTGTCATGTTTGTTCTTATAACTTTGATTCTGAAGGCCTATGGAACGTTTCGACAGGAATAGGCCGAAATACTGAATATAATCTTCGAAACGTAAAATGACCAGGGATTTATCAGCCTATTTTGGGAAACGCCATTTTTGGGGAATTGGGAAAAAATTATCGGCTATTTGATGAAATTGGGCAAAATAAAAAATGTTGCTTAAATCATGTATTCAGGTGTAATTCATTTAACACTTCAGCATGAACTCTAATTTGGGCATCCAAACAGACAATTAAATTAAATATGATCCAATTCATACAAGATCATGTAATTATGAATAATAGACTAATAAAAATTAAAATTGACTTCAATGAGTATAAAGTGTTTATACATCTTAGAGTAGTACATGTGTGTATGATATTCCAATTTAGGTCATTACAGAATCTGTTTCTGGAGATTATAAACCTCCTGCAAAAATTTATACTAAGTACACATTTTCTCAAAGTCCTCTTTTAATATGTATTAATGCATTGAAAATATATTTTTCTATTTTGGAATAATGCCTACAGTCCTTACCATTCACTCATAGATCAATTGAGTAGCTAGAAATAACTTAATAAATCTGTATTATTACACAATGTCACCATTTTCAGAAAAACGGAGGAAATTCGGATTAAAAGTGTTTTTAAACATGTGTTATGACAGAAGCTTTGCTAAATGAGTTAAATAGATGGAAATTACAGACAATCTGACAATTTTACTTTGTGTTTTCCAAGATAAATAAATATATATATAAAAGCATTGTTCACCGGTTTGGAAAAAATACTGCCAAATTGGGAAAAACTGAACTCATTTTCAATTGGGTATGGGGCCGAATTTCGGCCCCTGAGCAGGTATTGATAAATCCCTGATGACTGTTCATAGTTGCCACCATCGAAACGTTAATGTTGATTTAAAGAGCATGGCAGGTAACCTCTAAAAACCGCTGATACTTCCATTAAGTTGAAGTCGATAAAAGAAGAATTTCGATCCATATTACACACAACTCAATAATAAAAGAACAGTAACGCCAAAATACTGTATCTTATGTTGTGCCTACATTGCCAACTTATACTTTGTTTTAAAATAAATTTCTTAGTAATTTCTCTACAGAGAACTTAGAATGATTGTTTACATTTCGTGCGGTGGTTGTCCGTTGTTATGCTGATTTTACGAGTTACTGCTGTCTACATGAACTTTAAGAGTGTCCTTAGAATTATCATAATTATGACAGTGCACAGTACTTGAATAAATTGTGTCTTTTGCATGAATGTATATGAGGTGATTGTAAATTTGCATAGCATACTTTTTCATTTAATGACATAGAATACTTTATTCTATAACCAGAAATTATAGGTTTAGGGTGGTGGACTTTAGTTTGAACATGCATGGAATTAAGTTTAGATAGTCGGTGCGCTTGCACCTTACACCGAGTCACTTTGAGAATTTATGTTCGGAGATTAAACCAAGTATATTTTAGCAGAAACCTAGCACCTAACACCGAGTAAGGTTAGCACCAGTCCAGTAAAGATGGAACTTAGAACCAATTAGCTTATATTAGTAGCACCTAGCACCTGAACACCGGACGCCTAGAACCAGTTTGCTCCAATATCATCGGTAGCACCTTTCACCGAGTAAAACGCGCAATTTTGACATTTGAATGTGATTATCACACTGTGAGCTGGGACGTTATATAAAAATCTGTATATTGATTGTACCATTTATTAATTTAATAAATGCATTTTAATTGATCACACTTGTTTTATTTAAATTTACTTGACTGTACAGGTACCTTCGAACCCATTATTGTAACGTGCCTCATGGGTACCTACTAGTTAAATCTACACGCTCAACAATTTACACGTTACAATTGGTGGCAGCGAATTTATATATACTTTAAAACCCGAAACGTTACACTCATGTTTAATTTATTTTTTTTATTTCTGTGATTTCAATAAAAAAAAGGAAAATAAGTCAAAATAACAAAAACAAATCAATTCTGCAAATTGCAGTAATCTTCCGTTACGCAAGCAATCATCCACTTACGAACTTACACACTCACTAACGGCTTATTATATCCCTTTAATTCGTTGGTGAGGAGATAATGAAATTTTTAGGAAAACATGGGACCAAAAGTCCTTACCATTATGACTATTATAGATAACATTTTAACATTTTCTTAATTTTTTTCATTAGACCTAACAATTGATGATGGTGGCACATACTTTTGTCTGGTAAACCATATCACTGAAGAAGCCAATACAACGTTTTCTCAGAATATAACAGTCCTGGGTAAGTTATAGAATAGTAATAAAATGAATCGACACTTCTTGATCATGACTTTTTCACTTTTCGTACCATCTAATATTTATCGAGATGAGATGATTTGTGATACATTAACTATGAAGCAATTTAGTCTTTTACTCTTTTACAATGTGGCTTAATTGAATATGATTTTTTTTTCTCTTTTACAGACCCTTCTATAACGACACCAGGTAATAAGTAATCCACTTTAGTACTTTTTTCTTTTTTACATAAAATATTAAAATACATCAATTGCTCGCTGTTTTACTTCTCTCAATACGTATTCAATTTCATCTATGCACACTTAATTACTTTGATTTTATATATATCAGTAAATAATGTTTATCAAGCCTCTGGATTTTCTTGTAGTCTTTTGTCATTTTTTTCTGGATATTCTGTAAACCTACCCCTGAGAAAGTTAGTTCTTGTGTAGATACAAGCATAATATTATATTTAGACATATAGATTAGTTACTATTCGACCTGGATATGTCAGTCTTTAAGCTCTTTGTGTAATGTAGATTTAAACCACAATTAAAAGTAATTAACATGAAAAAATTAAAATTTTTAAAACATTTCTGATACTAACCATGCAAGAACTGTTAAACTTGATCAATGCTAGATTTTCCACAACTAATAATTCATCTTTTTATTGCGGCGTTCCTTCAATATTTTTCCAAAAATATTTTTTTATCTTTGCAGAGGCAGCAACCGTAACAATTGTAGGTAAGCATCTTTAACCTTGCCTTCTTAAGCCCCCTACCGGTGAAAAGGGGTGAGGGGACTACATATTTCACATTCGTCTGTCTGTATTTCTATTTGTCGGGCAGTCTTTCTCCTTCTTAGTTTTCAGACTCTTAACATGCTTTTACATCGAACTGATCCATGGTTTACGAGTCTTTCTTGATGAGTTACAGGTCAATATTGTATTTCCATTGTGCATCGATAATTTAATTTATGAAACTATGACTTTTGAACTTTTATCCTTAATTTTTAAGGCCTGGGGATCGAGGCTAAACATTCTTGTAAGGGACTACCTCAAGTAATTTTGCTTATGCAACACTCAGAATGCTTAATTTTATATACAGCGCCTTATCAGCAGGCGTGTGCCTTAAAAGTTTGTGGTATCGATTAATTTAGTCTCAAAATATTCAATAGCATATTTGAATCATAGCAACTTTACATTCTACCCATTATAGCATCTGATCGTTTCCCAAAAACTAATCTGGATGTAAGTTTCATCCATCAATTTGTACATTCATTGTGTCGCCTGCAGATCAGAGCGCCACTTAGGGAACACTATACCAGTCGTCTGTCTCTCCAGCTTTCTGTCTGTCTGTCTGACTGTCTCTTACACCCTATATCATGAGAACTGCAAGAGGTATGGATTTGACATTTGCAAATATATTGCTTGGCACTTTGGCTTTTATAAAATACCAGGGTTATCGGCCTCGTGACTCTTGAACTTGAACATCTGAACTTCTTTTCCCAATATACAACATATTTTTTTTTTACATTTAAGAGGTAAATCTATGCTATTTAGGATATGTAGACTGATTGCCGAAAAACATTCTGAAATATACTAGCGTTACAACCCATTTGACCTTGACCTTTGGCCTACTTTGTAAAAATACTCTGCACAGTTAATTTAACTTTTGTCTTTTGAATTTTAAGGGGAGGTTTTTGATAATTAACATTTATACCACATGTTTCTGAGCTCAAGACGCTATGCTTTGTAAAGCTTTATGCTTTAAAGTTATCACACAGATTGAGATATATTTTTTTTTTTAAAAACTATGAAAATAAATCGGGATCGCTATACCAAAAGGATAGTTGTGACTGATAATTTCAGAAAAGACAGACTGAAATCTCCTTTGGAAGATAGTTGGATTAAACAAGCATTTAAAAAATGAAAATCATTATTCATTTTAGCTTTGGGGAATAACATACATATATGATTGTCAGATTGTATATGGTAAATGCTATTCTATCAGTCTCACTATCCGTGGATTTTTTTTCTTTGCAGGCCAAATGCCTAAACTATAATGCAATTAGCAATTAAATAGCTAACCATCCTTAGATTTCTTTTAATCTTTAATGATGCTAAAAAGCAGGCGACACTTGCATTCCTTTGATTACACTAGTTTATATCAGCATGGTGTTAATATACAGTGGAGGATCCAGGAATTTCATAACGGGGGCGCAGTAGAAGACAGGGGGTCTGGGGGCTGCATTGAAGCCCCCAGCGGGTCCAGGGTAAAGCCCTGGTGGGGGTCCCGGAAACTGACAAATTCTAACAAATAAGAGGTGCTTTCCCTTGATTTTAAGATAATATAAACAAAATGTCCAAAAAAAATTAAAACGGGGGGGGGGGGTGCACTCCCGGATCCGCCTTTGTTATACTTTTGTCGAAGGTATTGTTTAATATATTGTTAATAGCTCCTTTTTTCAACTAGATTTTTTTCCAAATAGTGGGGTCTCCGGGTGTATTTCATTTAATCTTTAGCAGCAAAGTTATAGTTATTTTTAATCCTAATTGAAATAATCAGAAGAAACAGATGTCATTTTTTTTACAAATGAATGCCTTAAGTATTAGTTCATATTATTGCTTTCTTTACAGGTAGCAAAAAAGACACAGGTGGTTCATCGTCAGTAAATTACGAACTTCTTTCAACATTCCTGATTATGTTTGCAGGTTCTTTGCCTGATATGCAGTAATCATACATCTGCATGTTCATTTGCATATTTTACGATCAGACTATCTTATATTTCGAGTCCAGCTACTTTGTTTTTAAACTTGTAGGCAATTTAAAAGTAGCGACTGCTATTATAGCAGTAATTCGACTGATGGCAGTTATGTCTTCGGTATATATGCATATTTACTTTAAACATGTAACAATGTTATATTTGTTTTTTATTAGAATTTGCAATTGTACTTAAAAGAATTTGTTTTAGTATCACATATGCCCTATGTAAGACAGTGCCGTGTAATGTACATAGACAAGCAAAAAATAAAGCATTGTTATGTCCTCAATATGCAGTTGTGCAGATCATTATTCTTGCTGTTAGATAACTGGTGTTAAGACAGTTAAGAAAACCTTCAGATTTGAATATATCAGTATCAGCTCAGTTATGATATCTATTATCAAACCTGCTATCTTTAGTTGATTATTATAGTGTCTTTAGTTGATTATTATAGTGTCTTTAGTTGATTATTATAGTGTCTTTAGTTGATTATTATAGTGTCTTTAGTTGATTATTATAGTGTCTTTAGTTGGTTATTATAGTGTCTTTAGTTGGTTATTATAGTGTCTTTAGTTGATTATTATAGTGTCTTTAGTTGATTATTATAGTGTCTTTAGTTGGTTATTATAGTGTCTTTAGTTGATTATTATAGTGTCTTTAGTTGGTTATTATAGTGTCTTTAGTTGATTATTATAGTGTCTTTAGTTGATTATTATAGTGTCTTTAGTTGATTATTATAGTGTCTTTAGTTGATTATTATAGTGTCTTTAGTTGATTATTATAGTGTCTTTAGTTGATTATTATAGTGTCTTTAGTTGATTATTATAGTGTCTTTAGTTGATTATTATAGTGTCTTTAGTTGATTATTATAGTGTCTTTAGTTGGTTATTATAGTGTCTTTAGTTGATTATTATAGTGTCTTTAGTTGATTATTATAGTGTCTTTAGTTGGTTATTATAGTGTCTTTAGTTGATTATTATAGTGTCTTTAGTTGGTTATTATAGTGTCTTTAGTTGATTATTATAGTGTCTTTAGTTGATTATTATAGTGTCTTTAGTTGATTATTATAGTGTCTTTAGTTGGTTATTATAGTGTCTTTAGTTGATTATTATAGTGTCTTTAGTTGATTATTATAGTGTCTTTAGTTGATTATTATAGTGTCTTTAGTTGATTATTATAGTGTCTTTAGTTGGTTATTATAGTGTCTTTAGTTGATTATTATAGTGTCTTTAGTTGGTTATTATAGTGTCTTTAGTTGATTATTATAGTGTCTTTAGTTGGTTATTATAGTGTCTTTAGTTGATTATTATAGTGTCTTTAGTTGATTATTATAGTGTCTTTAGTTGATTATTATAGTGTCTTTAGTTGATTATTATAGTGTCTTTAGTTGATTATTATAGTGTCTTTAGTTGGTTATTATAGTGTCTTTAGTTGATTATTATAGTGTCTTTAGTTGGTTATTATAGTGTCTTTAGTTGATTATTATAGTGTCTTTAGTTGATTATTATAGTGTCTTTAGTTGATTATTATAGTGTCTTTAGTTGGTTATTATAGTGTCTTTAGTTGATTATTATAGTGTCTTTAGTTGATTATTATAGTGTCTTTAGTTGATTATTATAGTGTCTTTAGTTGATTATTATAGTGTCTTTAGTTGGTTATTATAGTGTCTTTAGTTGGTTATTATAGTGTCTTTAGTTGATTATTATAGTGTCTTTAGTTGGTTATTATAGTGTCTTTAGTTGATTATTATAGTGTCTTTAGTTGATTATTATAGTGTCTTTAGTTGATTATTATAGTGTCTTTAGTTGATTATTATAGTGTCTTTAGTTGATTATTATAGTGTCTTTAGTTGATTATTATAGTGTCTTTAGTTGATTATTATAGTGTCTTTAGTTGGTTATTATAGTGTCTTTAGTTGATTATTATAGTGTCTTTAGTTGATTATTATAGTGTCTTTAGTTGATTATTATAGTGTCTTTAGTTGATTATTATAGTGTCTTTAGTTGATTATTATAGTGTCTTTAGTTGGTTATTATAGTGTCTTTAGTTGATTATTATAGTGTCTTTAGTTGATTATTATAGTGTCTTTAGTTGATTATTATAGTGTCTTTAGTTGATTATTATAGTGTCTTTAGTTGGTTATTATAGTGGTGTGGAGTCTAAGCGGCACAAAAATATGCAATGAGATGTTGTTTCACGTTCACACATTGTATAGATCATTATCTATTTAACATTTTGAAAATACGCTCTATAAAGTGCAACAACCAATGGAAGCCAGACTTAGGCACGGAAATAAATAATGTTATTATAAGTGCACGGCTTTTCTTTAAAATATCTGTTTTAAAGATGATGTTTCTTTCTCAATTGAGGCATATATCTATAAAAAAGATTTTGATTCTTTTTTTCTTTACAATCCTTTGAGTTTTCAACTTTAAGCTCTGATTTAAATTAAAAGAAAAAAAATATGAGGCATAAAACGAGGACCCCCCAAAATTATAGATCAGTGGGATCAGGTGCCAAGGAGTAGCAATCAACCCCCAGTTGACCAGCCACACCCGTTGTAAAGTAAATACATTAATGTTCAGATTCAACTTTTTATATAACTCAGAAAGTCATGCAAGAAGAGCAGAATTAGAGAAATGAGCCTCAACATGGCATTCTTAATTAATCTTAACATTTTTTATAGAAATTATTAGGCCATTATTTTTACACTGAGTTGTCTATGTATTCCTTTCAATTGCCCGATCCTGACAAGGAGCTCACGGCCGGTGTGACCGGTCGATAGGCGATGCATAGTCCTCAATTCACCTGATCCCACTTCTGGTGTTGTTAGAGGTCCGTGTTTGCTCTGCTCCCAATTTGTATTATTCCTATAGACTTTGAAGCTTTATTAGTGTTCGATTCCTCTCTTCATATTTCATTAAAAAGATACTCTCAACAAGGTTCAAAAACCAACTGAGACAGATTTTAGCACAGAAATAAATAATGTGGTTTTAATTAAATGGCTATTCCTCAAAGAAACTTCCAGTATTTATAAAATAGTACCGACAAATAATAAAACATTCTCTTCATGTTCTAACATATTAATTCTAACATATTTTAGAACAGTAATTGTAGGACAAAATTGCTAAGATTTAGACTGCTAATTAATATAGAATAAGCAAAATTGTATGTTTATTTTTGTTAGATATTAGTATCAATTTTTACGATTTAATGAATTAATTTAATTTATTAATAGTTAAGTTAATCACTATGATTAATATCAATTTTCAAATACTAATTTAAAACAGCAGACACAATATTTTCTAGTGCACACGTTTGAAAATTATGTCGAAAGCAATAAATATTGCTTCCCACAAATTAATTTTCAATCGAATTCCTTGTTCTTAGATCATAATCATTCAGGTTATTTCCTGACTAAAACTCATAAACAATCTTGGTTATTAATCGTCTAACATTTCTATATTTGGATACAAAAATTGAACAGGAATACAAATTGCATAATTTAGATCGATAAATACAGAAATATTGGATATGATTCACTGTTTAACCTCAAACTTTTTTGCATTTTTTTTTTTTTTTTACTTTTCACATTTTCAACTTCTTCTGAGTCACTGGGCCAGTTTCAATGTAAATCATATACGGTACCAATTTTTATGCACCAGATGCGCATTTCGACAAATTATGTCTCTTCAGTGATGCTCAGGCAGAAACGTTGGAAATCCAAAATAATATTTAAATAGAAAAAAGACTTGAAGGAGCTGAAAAAGGTGCCAAAGACTGGAGCCAAATGCGTCGAAGGATCAGAGCTATGCATGAGGAAGATAATCCTTAATTTTGAAAAAAAAAATTTAAATTTTACCACAGCAGATAAATATTTATCCGCGTTTTCAAGATAGTGCCGAAGTACTTTCCACAAAGTATCCTTGCGTGAACTTCAAGGGGTTTCAAGTTTGTTAATATGAAGAGTCACCCCCTCTTCCAAGGAAATATAATGAAAAAAAATGGCAGGGTCATATAAATTCTTTTCAAAAAGCACTTGACAAAAATAATTTAAATTAAGTAAAAGTTTTCTGACATAATGTAGATTCAAGCTTGTTTACATCCACTGATGTAAAAGGGGGCCCACAATAGAGGATAAAAGTTAAACATGGAAAAAAAATAGTATAAAACTTCAAAATTCGTCATTTCAAGATCTGCATGGCCATGTTTATTAGTCAGATTAATATGTAATCATCTTAAGTTGCTGAAATTTAAATTTGTTAAAATCAAGACCCCCGGATGTAGGATGGACCATAATAGAGGGCAAAATTTTACATTAGAATATATAGAAAAATCTTTGTAGAATCTCTCTTATGAAAACTAGGTTCCTGATTAGTGATATTAATATAGGTAGTTAAGGATGAATTTTTTTAAAATCATATCCCCCCTCCCCCTCCCCCTCCCAACCCCCCTCGGAGGGCAAGGGTGTAGAGTGGAGCCCTAACAGGGATTCAAAGTTTTACATGAAAATATATATAAAAATAATGAAAATGTTTTTCTCAAGAACAAGATTAGTGATATTGATACGTGAGCGTATTTAGGTAGTTGTGATTCAAATCATTGCCCCCCTTACCCGGCGTCACATGGCAAAAATGCTGAAACATTCTGATTATACAGCAGTACCAAGGTTACTCAGGTGAGCGTTGTGGCTCATCGTCCTCTTGTTTAAACTATATCTTTTTAAGTTAAAAATTGCAAAACTATCTGAAAACCCAAACTGATAATGTTAAAGAGTGCAGAACATTCCAATTATATCAGCTTTTTTAAATTCACATATTTTTTGTTTATTCTAATTTGAGTATTTTGAGTTCACCCCTACATGAACTAATGGAGAATTGACCGATATACTCCTATGCAGATGAACATCCATCATGCCCTACAAATTTAACATTTGTTATTATTATTATTATTATTATTATTTGGAGTGTGAATACTAATTTAATTGGAACAATAGTTCTACTATCATTTAGTGTTGTCCTTATTGATACACTTTTACTCGGTATCGATTATTTTACTCTTTTTCTCTTACAGTACTGTAAAGTAATTCGGTATCGATTATTTAGTGTGTATTTTCCTTGTCGATATAATGTTTCTCTGTCAACATAGTACAATCCTTTCATGACTCATGATTTTTTTTATACAATATATGTATAATGTTATAGATAAATGATCAATTGGTATCATTCACGGAATTTTAGCACAGGATTTCCGAGTTCGGTTTTTCCGAAAAAGAACAAGGGTATGTATGATCTTTATTTTGGGACTTTCAGGATTAGTAAAAATAATATAGCGTGTCACGGAGACTGCGGATGCCATAGGTTTTCTTTAGCGATGATTGAACAAAGGTTGTTCTAAATTATATGCAATATTTAAAAATTCATGCATGGATACTTACATGTTCTCGGTGTAAAATGGGTATATATACTAGGAAGAGATAACTCCAACAAAAAAATTGGTTAGGCATCAGACAGGAAGGTTGAAATAACATAACGAAAGTAATATTGACCTCAAGGTACGTATTCTACGAGTGTTTGAGGAGAACAAACATATGTTTGTGTTTTATTTTCCAGAGTTTTAATATGAGTCAAATATCGTCTGTATATGGTCATAAGTGAGTCTAAATTTCTCATTTTTTTCACTGTATAGTTCAATAAAAAACAATTATATTTTTAAAAATAAGTTTTGTGAGGTCAATTTTAGCCCATTTTCCACAATTATTTAGAATATTTTTTTTTAATTTTCTTTTACGAGGATCCTTTAAATTTCATATAACACTGATCATTGAAAAAAAAAATGTAAGAAATCAGTAAGGTAATTTTCTCGAACCAAAATACTATGATTTTTAAATAAATTTTTGCCTTAAAATTTCTATTTTGTATTTCTTTTGTGATTCCAGAAAACGCCTACAGAATTTAAAATAGGGTTGGTTGATTAGACAGTTATTCTTTAAATATTTCATATCTTGTAAAATTAATACACAGTTATATTTAGGTCGTCATTTAGTTTCCACAACCTTTATACTCTTCGATAATGGTACTTGGTAGTTAAACTAAGGGTGTGATGATTAGGTATCCGGTAAAAGCATTGAATTTGTTGAAAACGAAATAAAACATATATTTGCATCTAGAGATTGTATCTCTGTTAAACTTTAAAAACTTTCCTCAAACATTGTATATGATATTCTTGCATATATATTCAATTTTTCTATATCTTCATGTACATTTGCAGCTGACTGGAAAAAAAAATGTACTTTTTTTCAAATCAGGGGATGAATATTTATTTAACAACTTTCGGTCTGTATCCATTTTACCCTTTTTCGGAAAAAAATTGGAGAGGCATGTTTTTATTTCATATTATGAGTTTTTCCATCTTCTATCATGTTAACACAGCTATAAACTTGACGCCTTGATCACATAATGTTGTTTATAGAAAAGTCATTCTAGTGTATAAACCATTACATCGATTAATGTCAGATTTTTTAAAAAATGTTTTAAATAATATTATGTATCAGAAGTTAGCCAAGCAAACAAGAAATTCTAATTCTAATGCACTGTATGTATCCAGAATAAAGGCTGAGTATTACAAAAGATTTTTCAGTGTTTCAGGTAGTAATATGTGGAATGCCTTGAGTGAAAATATTAGAAATTCGACAAGTTTAGTATGTTTTAAGATAAATTATCTTAGAGACTGTATAGTCATACTTTTTCAATTTTGTTTACTACTTGTTTATTTTAAATCCACAATTACTTTATTTAGCTTATAATTTCCTCTAACCTATGTTCTAATACTATATGCAGGACCATATTGAAAACTAGCATTGTTGCGAAATATGTCATTCTGGATAAATAAAGGCTTTATTACTATTGTTCTTATATTTTTTCAGACTCACTGCAGCTGTATATTTTTATATTGGATGAATCATAATTTACAGACATGTCGATAATGTATATCGAACGTCTGCCTACTAAAAAAAAAATGCAGTCATGACAGGCCCGTAGGAAGCAATTTCAGTTTTGGGGGGCACAGCCATACATTTTCAGTTGAGGGGGCACTATCAACTACCAAAAATTTCTTGACAAGCAAAAAAAAAAGGTCACAGGCATATAGTATCTATGTTTTCTAAAGTAGTCTGTATATCGGCAAAATTATTGGGGGGGGGAGGGCACGGCCTCCCGTGCCCCCCCCCCCCATCCGGTTCCTACGGCCATGCATGATGAACATAATGTAAAGATAGTTCGAATACAAATAATTTCTTCTACAAAATTATTTGCTGTATGCTCATTGCCAAACTAGATGAAAAGAAATGTTATAACTGTAACATTTGGGGGCCTGAGGGGGGGGGGATAAGAAAAGGTTCACAAAATAAAAAAAAATACTAAAACTACATACTCTATCGGAAACTCCTTCAAATGTTGGTGATAATTCCTGCCTTTAAGGCATAATTTGACTAAGATTTCAATGATTTTACAAAGACAGAAACAGGAATCCCTATCTAGATCCACCTAAACATTTAGGTCATTTTTTTTTATTTCAAACAATTGCATAAGAGATTTGTTTAATTTTTTAGATATAAAATAAGGACAAATAGTCAGTTAAACAAGGGAAAAAATTGACCGCTTTCCATGTAAAATCAATTTCAGAATCCCTTCGCCTTATGTTTTTTCTTAAGCAGACATAATTAAGCTATTCTAAAGAGTTAAACAGGCATCAAGCTTATATCAAGAGATGTGTGAACGGTCGACAGGGGATGCTAACTCCTCCTAGACACCTGATCCCACCTATGGAATTTCTAGGGGTCCGTGTTTTTTGCCCTGTTCGAGATTGCTATTGTTAGTTGTTGTTTTTTTTTCTTTCAGATCGATCACTGATCTTCTGGTTTAAATTTGCTCTGTTGTTAACCCACTTTTTATTTTTTTTTATTTTATTTATTTATTTTTTTTTTTTTTTTTTTTGGTTATGTTCACAAATATTTTAGGGATTGGTTTTATGCAAGTTTAGAATATTTAGATGTTCTTTTATTTCTTGCTTATATATACATTATCCTCTTTAAATTGTATATGCATCATCTTCAAATTGCATTTGGATTCATATAGAAAAACAAAAAATAATATATAACAGTGGCACAATTCATTCAATAATATGTTTATTCTTCACAGAATTTTTTTCATAATTCTTAAAGTATGTTTGCATAAAGAATAGTAATAGTTTTATGATTTTTAATTATAATCATTTGTATTTCGTAAGGCTCCACTGATATGCGATGCAATTACCTGTATCATGTCAAACATTGCGCAATCCTTTTTGTAAAGGTCATAGCCTAGATAAAACACAGTCAAAGGTTCTACACAAGTGTGATCATCTTCCTGCACAAATATAGGAAATCAACCAAGCAAAGCGAGTTGAAGTACTTTATGTAAGTGACAGATTCTCTTTCAAATTATTTTGTTGATGCCTATTTATTTGATATATTTACTAAAAAAAAAAGAAATCTTAACCACAACTTTCATCGTAAATATGTGTATTTTTACTCCGCTGTGCAACCTAGGTAAGAGTTTCCATCGGAATTTAAAATCACCTCTTTAATGTTTATGACCACATTTTCATCGACTGTCAAATACAATATATATCTGCCATCTCTTATATATACTTCATTCATTTCTACCGCAAACCTTGTTATAATTTTATTTTATTTAAAACATCAAACACTTGTGTATATAAAAGATACATCATACATACAACTTGAACTTCGATATCTCGAACACTGATATTTCCAATACCATGGATATGTCGAAGTGATTTGGAAGTCCCAACCACTTATTTATCTCGAAGTTTTTTTCTCGGTCCCATATATATATATATATATATATATATATATATATATATATATATATAAAGCGCTAAAACCAACAACACTGTATATCCTAAGTGTCGGATCTATTAAGTAGATACAAGGTCACGGAAGGAAATTTATATAAAGCACTAAAAATGACGAACGACACGAACAATAATAATTGTCAAATTTTCGGGACGACCTGTCCCTTCCTCAGGACAATGACTTCACCAGGATGAACGTGATATAGACACAATCCCGGATTGTAACAAACAAGTACATTCTCTCTATATAGTGTAAACTTTACCGTTAATTCGTATTAGCAATTCTGGAACAACCTACCCAAATCTTTACAGATTACATTTTTGTTTATTTCTTTTATCAGATTTCCAAATTTATAATATATCCAAAATTCATATTTTAAAATTGCCCTTCCATATTATCTTTAATTTCTTTTTATCATGTATAGTTACGCTATTTTGAGAGAATAAGACAAGGTACGATTTACTGCTTGGTCGTAGTTAATTAGCGATAATTAATTCGTTCAATTATGCAAATCGCACTTCACCAGAGTACACCCGATAGACCGGACGCAATTCATAGCTCTCCGGATTTCTTTGTTCACAACTGTTTATAAACTTCATATTAAACATGTTATACTGTAAATATTTAGTGTTTGGTAGTTTAGTAGTAGTGCTAGTTGTTTTTGTTTCTCTATTTCCTTTGTTTTTATCATTTCTTAACTTTTTTCTTTGTCCTGAGGAAGGGACAGGTCGTCCCGAAAATTTGACAATTATTATTGTTCGTGTCGTTGGTCATTTTTAGTGCTATATATATATATATATATATATATATATATATATATATATATATATATATATATATATATATATATGAAATCTGAAGATAACGAGAGATATTATCTTCAAATGTCCAATTATAAAATTCAAATGAAGATCAATTGACATTTAGCAAGCATAATCAACTTCAACGTATTGATTTCTTTTTTTCTAGTCTCACTTTCTAAATAGCATGGTCTATGTGTATTTTCAGTATTTTTAGAGGGGGAGCTTAAACATGGAAAGGTTGAGAGATTTACCTTGGAATTTTCTGGCTATTCTTCTTTTTGTGTTACTGGGTCAACACACGTGTAAGTAATACTTCGTATTATGTTTGTGACCTTTTTTCTGCTCATAATTATATGATTGTAATAATTCTTAGACAAGCCTCTTGTATAAAAGCTAACTGATATCAAAATTCAAGAAATCGAGTCAGAATTTTATTAAAGTTCATTTCAGTTCATTGAGGAAGGTTACGTAGGACCTTACAAAAGATCGTACGATGTCAGATCATGAGCCAAAATTGATTATCAAAAGATTGATATCGAAAATTTAAGCAAGTATTTTAACAAGCTTCAATGAGATTGTATCGATGAATACTAGAATTAGGACACACAGGACTCTACGGTTACATAAAGGGTGCTAACTCTTTCTATTTAAATTTTTTAGTACATTTTATTTTGATGGGGGTGGGGGGGGTGGGGGGGGGTCTTTGAGATCGTACAGTTTCAATTTATTTTGTCTGTGTGCTGCTATATACAACCTTCTTATGTCCGAATTTCAAAATATCTAGGTAGATTTTGTCTTCAGGTTGGACAAAGAAAAAAATAATCATTTTTATTCATTTTTTCCTTTTTTTCAAATAATATTATAGAAGTTAAGTAATATCTTTTTCAAGCAGTTTAGATGATAAAAGTGACATACCTAAAAATTCACAAAATTTCTTAATATGATTAATTACGAAGTACCTGAAAAACTACAAACAAGTTAAACCATCAAAGATGAAGTGTTTTGAACATTAAAAAAATCTAAAAGAAAAAAATAAGTAAGAAAAATTCATCTTTAAAATTCTCTAATTGACGCCAGTATAACTACATGTTTGTAATGATATCAAAACTTACATGAAATCGGCCTAGGTCAGATCTAACAGCAAAGTTTCCAATTTTACAATCAATCATTAGCAAATATTTTTGGAATTCTATGTAAGAAGGTCTTTTTCGTATCAATTCATAAACTCATTCTAACCTATATCTTTATCGTAATCGACAAACGCTTGATATTCTTTTTTCCCCCTTTTTCAGATGTCTTATGTAAGTTCGCTTACTCTTTTAAATTGGATTTGCATGGACCATACTCACCAGGTGACACCTATAATACATCATGCTATGTTGAAGCATCTGGTGACGACAGCGTATCAGATGTGGACGTCTTTTTGAGTTTTGGTAGTATAACTTACTGCAACAACAGCGAAGTGGTACCGGTGGGCAGAAATCATAGTTGTGCCGAAGCTACAGTACAAAACAGGACTACCTTCTATTTTTCACTACCAGGTATATTGTGAGACTTGCGTGTTATCCTGTGACAAAATCTGAATTTTATTGCCCTCTGTTTTCGAGGAAATGTCTTTTGTACAATAGATAATAAATTATAAAGTTAAAACTCTGAAATTCGAATTTGTTATTTTTCAAAAAAATTCCTCATTTGCTAATACACATTCTGTTGAATTCTCTTGGAACATACTTATGATATGCATATCTTAAAAGTAGTTTCTCCTTGAAAGAGAAAGATGAGAAATCAAAATAATATAGAACAGATGTACTGTCAGCTTGCATTTTTTAAATCTCATTAGACCTCAGAATTAGTGACAGTGGCACATACTCCTGTAAAATTCACAACAAGACGACGGGGGCACTAAAAATCAGCATCCACCAGAATATAAGTGTTGTTGGTAAGTTAAAAAAGATCATTATTTAGGTTGTTATTCTTTTAAAGATTTATCATCACATGAAAATTTGATTTAATTCAAATAATTTTGCAAAAAGAAATTAAATTTTCAATAAAATGTAAGCAATGACATCCTACTTTGTGAGACGATATTTGATAGCCTTTTAACTCAATTCAATAAGGAATAAAAGCATTAATCTCAGTGAGAGTTATGTGTTATCAGATTATGAAAGAGTGAGAGAAAGGAGAGAGATTTAAAGGACAAAAGTATTATGGATCGCAAGAGTATTTAATGTGTGAATAAACTTTTAACAAAATGCATTGTTTTCTGCAGACCCGTCTAGTATTACAACACAATCGCAAGGCTCTGTAACAACCACACAAGGTAATATTTTATATTCTCTTTATTTCATTTTCATTTTTCTAACGTATTAATGTCCTCTTCCTATCTTTACCTTTGGTACAGAGTGCATGTACTATTGTATAAAAACATACATACGTCAATATTTACAAGAAACTCCATACTACAGGTAAACTACGATATCTCGAACTTGGCGGGACTGAGGAAAAACTTCGAGATATCCAAGTGTATATTAGAATTATTGCCTCCATGTACAGAGTGCATAAAATAGTTTTTATTATGCGCCTGTATCGAAGATTCGGGAATATATAGTTTTGCCCTATCAGTCCGTCTGTCTGTCTATCTGTTTGTCAGTTTGTCTGTTTGTCCGCAAAAACATTAACATTGCTCAAAACTTTTGATTGGTTAGAGCTATGACTTTCATGTTTCACATGTGTATTTCCTGTGACAAGACCTTTCTTTGGGTACCATCATATTTGACCTCTTGACCTTGGAGTTTGACCCAGTTTTACAAATATTTACCCAGCTTTAAACTTGGCCATAACTTTTGAACAGTTGCTGCTAGGGCTTTCATACTTCACATATGTACTCCTTTTGAAAAGATCTTCCTTTTGATATCAATTTGACCCTTTGACCTTGATCTAGAAGTTTGACCTACTTTTGAAAAACTTTAACCTTGGCCATAACTTTTGAACGGTTGGTGTGAGGGCTTTCATACTTCACATGTGCAATTCTTGTGACAAGACCTTCCTTTATATACCAACAACATTGACCCTTTGACCTTGACCTAGGAGTTTGACCTACTTTTGAAAAACTTTAACTTTTGCCATAACTTTTGAACAGTTGGCGCTAGGGCTTTCATCCTTCACATGTGTATTTCTTGTGAGAAGGCCTTTCCTTGGGCACCATTAAGAGCCAGTCCGCGAGAAAACCATGCAAAACCGTCCAAATTGAAGGTTGTCATATCATGATAAAATTTGGTGGGTAGTTAGACTTCATAACATGTAATTCAAAAAAGTCAAAATTTTCTCCATCATCCAACATGGCAGCCGTAGGAAGCGCCACCTTCTTTTTGCACATTTAAGTGCAAATACACTTCATAAATAATTCAAGCAAAATGGTAAAAATTACATTTGATTTATTTTACTCAAATTAAATTTTTACTTCCTTTCAGGTATTTTAAAGTAACATATGACTATGTTCTTCTAAAACTGACATTTATCATAATCAAATACGCAACATATCAAAGGGTAGACAACTCTTAAAAATTGGCAAAATGCCAAGTTTGAAGAATTGACAAAATTATTACATATTGAATGGCCAAAATCTTCCAAGACCAAGCTACAAAATTATAATTTTTGATCTTATTGTCAAAATATAACTCTAAATATTATCTTTGCAAAATATTAAGCTTGGGATTTCATAATTTATTGAGATATAGAGATTTACAAATTGTCAATTTTCAAAAAATTATTCAAATTCCAGTGGGTTACAAAGTCAAATTTAGAACTTTTAAATTAAATTATAAATACTTGTTGTTAGATAAGAAAAAATGTTACCATTTTCTTTGTAACCATAATTAGAAATGAAAAAAAAAGATATGAAAATTAAATAAAAAATTCAAAAATTACCCCCAATTTGAGGATTGGCATTTTGCCAATTGTTTAGAAATGGTATGAATTCATGATAAATTGTTTTGGCTTACATGTAAATTTTCAACGATCATATTGAATATTCATGTTTCTTTCTTTTTTGTAAGATAGTTTCTCTATAATTAAAAAAATGGGATTTACATGTCTTTAAATTCAGGAGGACTCTACTACATCATGGTTCACAATACATATAAATTATGAGACTTGAACACATTTGAGCTTCCGATAAGTTGTTTGCATTCTGTCAATTTTAAATTGGCCCACTCTTGTCAAAATAACAATTCTGAATTATCAAAATACTGACATGAAAATGATGAAGTGCTATGCAAAATACTCTATAAGGGAGTTTAGCTTTTTTTTTTTCAAATCATAGAACTTAATTTTCATACATCCATGTTGATTCATTATGGTATAATTCTGAGATATGAGGAACATAAGTATAAATCAAAGAATTGTTTTTATTAAAATCTGTTTTTTTTTTTCTTATAATCGTACTAAAATGGATTTTGTAAAATGATATATACTGTTAAATCATATTTTGTAGTTTGAGGGGAAAAATTGGTTCTGGGGATTCAATTTTATGGCTCTGGGGTGTTTAGTTGTTGCATATTCCAAAATTTACATTTTACACTCTTCATACCATGACAACAATGACCCCCCCCCCCTTTTCAGTTTTAGACTCCAAATCTTTAACTATGTTATTAAATGTTTAGCCAGTAATTTCAATATACTAATATTTTCAACATTCTCTTAATAATTGTATTTGTGTAAATATTTTTTTTAACAAAATTCTACATATATAGTTCAATTTCACAAAGGTTTTCATTTTAATCATAGTGCAAGTACTAGAAATAATATTTCACTAAGTTTGCTCTTTGAACAACATGGCCATAGGAACATAGCCGTAGGAACAGGGGGGCTGCCACCCCCACCCCCCTTTCAATAATTTTGCCAATATACAGATTACTATAGAAAACATAGCTACTATATAAATATGCTTGTGCCCCCTCAATAAAAACGTCTCATGACCTTTTCTTTTTTGCTCGTCAAGGAATTTCGGGCAGTTGATAGTCCCCCCCCCCCCAACTAAAAATGTATGGCTGTGCCCCCCCCCCCCCCCCCCCAACTGAATTTGCTTCCAATGGGCCTGCTTAGATAATTTTCTTCAGGACCCATCCTTCTGATATGGGGATCACTATATCTGTACTGCATATACACATGCTGCACTACATTGTAACTGGTAATTGGCATACAAAATGTGTATATTTTATAAGGAATGAAAAGTTTTACCAAAACTATGTTAATGATCCTATATGAGTACCTGGAATATTGTAGACGTATATCACGATACTTGCTTTGTCCGTGCTTGTTTTAGGATGATCCTTCTATCCCCATACATGCACAATGTTAGCTGTCTCTCCAGTAAACAAAACGTAATCATGATGTTTTAAAGCATATTATATTGGTTTTAGCAAGTAGAGTTTATCACAATTTCCATTTCTACACACTATTTGCTTTTTCAAGCTGGATTGTTGTTGATCTTAAAAATGAGTTTTTCCATTCATAGTGCAATGATGCTCCACAACAACTCCCTAGGTTCATATAAAATGATCATACATGACCTTCTTTATTCCATGTTGATATACCTGTCATTTTTACCCAATAATACTAAAGAGTTCCAACAAGGGGAGATAACAATTAACTCCAGGAAATTGGTTGCAGGGGGCTAAAATAAGCAATAGAAATTTATATGAATTATCTAAATCAGTTATTCATATCTTAAAAAATATATTAGATTTAGAATCTTCTGTATTTTTATTTAGATATTTAAGAAATAGTCTATAAATATGATAATAGACTGTTATTTAAAATATGTGAAATTGTAACGAAGTATGGTATTTCAAAGTTAATTTTCAACATGTAGATATTATTTCCCAAGCTCAATATTTTAATACGTAGTAGACCTTAGACCATTCTAAAGATAACACTTAATTTAATTTAATGTTTTACTTGGTCTTGAGAGAAAATTGCATCTAAAAATAGCTAAAAAATCATACTCATTGATTTAGGATCTATAAATAGACCCTTAAAAACTAAAACATTCATTTGAATTACTTTTTTATACATTAATTGTATAAATAAGACCATGATTTTGAAAACAAAACAAAATTTTAAAATAGACTGATGGCAGAATGTCACCTTTTGAATTAATCAGTTTGTATGGTTTTTTACATATAATTTAGTGATTTTCAATAAATATGCAAATGAACTGTTACTAAAAATAGATGCAAGGTTTGACAATTTTTTTGTAGATATTTTGACTTCTACTTTTATGTAGAAAATTTTAAGCCACTAAAAAATCCTATGTTGCAACCTTCCATTTGGACAATTTTTTGAATTTTGCATGGTTTTCTCGCGGACTGGCTCTTAATTTTGACCATTTGACCTTGATGTTCGACTTATTTTTGAAAAACTGAAACCTTTTCCATATCTTTTCAATGATTGCTGCTAGGGCTTTCATATTTCACAGGTAAAATTCAACTGGACAAGACCTAACTTTGGGTACAAACATATTTGATTTGGATTTGAGAACGTTTAACCTTCGCTATAAGTTGTCATACAGGTGCATCAGTGTTTCACAAACACATTTTGTTTTTTTTTTATTTATTATTTTTTTTTTGGGGAGGGGGGGGGGGTAAGTTTTTGCGCATTTTATCACATTCACGAAACACATTTGTTTATTTTTTTAAGTGTCTATTATTTATACTATTATTTGTATAATAAAAACACAATGTGTAGATTTATATACTTGTAGAAATCGATAATAACTTAAATGAAGTGTTAATTTGTAAATGTTGCCATGTATCATTTGTCGATTTAGCAATCATGAATGATAAAATTGTACCATTGATCACCCACAATGTCATCCACTAATCATGGATACAATATATACTCTCCTAAAGATACCGATATTATTAACAAATGTTGATTTTGTTTTTAATTTATAAGCTTAAAATTAGTCAATTTATGAGGACAATCAATGATGAATAAAATTAAATGCACTCACCACAGTATATAATCAGTGAATTTGATATTTTTATTGGATTTTATTTGCTACATAGCACCAAAAAAATCCCCATATTTCGTATACTTTAGAATGATTTCATTCATTTTACCCTTTATTCTTATTTTTTGATAGTGGACATTTGTGGAGGTGAACTTTGATACAAACAGCAATTATGCAATCGATTAAATTTTCGTATATTTTTTGTATATATGACATATGTTTTCTACCTACGTGTATACATGTATGTACATATACATATGTTAAATTATTACATTGCAAATTGAAATTTGATGTAAATTGAAATTAGAGTGAGACAGACAAATAGTTTCTGTTTTCATCCAAATAGTGTCTGTTTTCATCCAAATAGTCACTGGCGTCATCAAAATAATTATAAAGTCGCTGTCATCACCCAAATAATGTCTCTTTTGATATCCAAAATAGTCTCTGTCCTCATCCAAATATCTGGTTGCTGTCATCATCCAAATAGTGTCGCTGTTGTCATCCAAATAGTCTCTTCCGTCATCCAGATAGTCGCTGTCGCCATCAAAATAGTCACTGTCGTCTTAAAAAATATTAGTATACGCTAACGTCATCAAAGCTTACTTTATCCTAAATGCCTCATAGACATTAGGTTTGAGGTTTTTTAGCTTAGAAATATTAATTTATTGGGGGGGGGGGACAAAATTTAATGTACACTAAAACTTGTCCAGTCCGGACATGTTTCCAAACAAATTGGCCAGATTAGACAATATTTCGGATTAGAGAAAATTTTAAGCAATTGAATTTACTGAAAGGTCTCAAAGTTCATCTCGTATTAGGCAAGAATTTGGAATACACAACATCTGGATTTGACAAGTTTAACTGTATATGTGCATGTCTAACTAGTATTTTTCTAACATTATATATTTTATAATTCCTGAAATAATATCATATATATTTTTATATAGCTGACGGCACTGGAGGTTCCACGTCAATTCATACCCCAACCTTCTCAGCATTTCTGCTTGTGTTAACAGCTGTGGCATTATATGCTGATTTATGAATGTTCCTTTCTACATCGTCGCAAGAGAAATCCAACATGCAAAAACAGATCAAACGCTTGCCCATAAGATGATTCTGAAATTATATTAGACTGTTCGTTGAAAATTACATTATTTTATATAAACAATATTTCGAAAAGTGATTGAAATGAAATAGGTGATGATAACGAACAATGTAAATTTGTGAAGTTAAATGCCATGATACACTTGACTGTTCCAAGTCAATTAGGAAGGTAGGGTACCACCGAAAATACAGAGATTCGGGAAAATCTTTTTTTCTATAGAGCAAAAGAATCGGATATTGTAAAATAAATCTTGTTCCTGAAACTTTAAGCTGAAAGTCTCTATTAAAACATGACATTTTATATACGAAAATTTTAGACGATGTACATCTCTTAAAAAAATGTGTAAACACATACGTCCATGTTTAAAGGTAACGTCTTCGCACCTCTTTCTTATGAAAACTAGGTTCCTGATTAGTGATATTAATATGCAAGCATTCTCAGGTAGTTAAGGATGGAATTTTTTTTTAAATCATAGCCCCCTCCCCCCCTCCCCCCCCCCGGAGGGCAATGGGGTAGAGTGGAGCCCTAATAGGGATTCAAAGTTTTACATGAAAATATATTTATATAAAAAATGAAAATGCTTTTTCTCAAGAACAAGATTAGTGATATTGGTATGTGAGCATATTTAGATAGTTGTGATTCAAATCATCCGGGGTCACGAAATTTTAGCACAGGATTTCCGAGTTCGCGTTTTCCGAAAGAGAACAAGGGTATGTATGATCTTTATTTTGGGACTTTCAGGATTAGTAAAAATAATATATCATGTCACGGAGACTGCGGATGCCATAGGTTTTCTTTAGCAATGATTGAACAAAGGTTGTTCTAAATTATATGCAATATTTACAAATTCATGCATGAATAGTTACATGTTCTCGGTGTAAAATGGGTATATATACTAGGAAGAGATAACTCCAACAAAAATTGGTTAGGCATCAGACAGGAAGGTTAAAATAACAAAACCAAAATAATATTGACCTTGAGGTACGTATTCTACGAGTGTTTGAGGAGAACAAACATATGTTTGTGTTTTATTTTCCAGAGTTTTAATATGAGTCAAATGTCGTCTGTATATGGTCATAAGTGAGTCTAAATTCCTCATTTTTTTCACTGTATAGTTCAATAAAAAACAATTATATTTTTAAAAATAAGTTTTGTGAGGTCAATTTTAGCCCATTTTCCACAATTATTTAGTATATTTTTTAATTTTTTTTTTTACTAGGATGCTTTAAAGGTGCTTAAACACAGATTTGAACTTAATATTTTCTCAAATTTTCTGTATAATGTCAAGACTTATATATTGCAATAGCATTTCACACGAAAATATAATCAAAAACTTATTTTATCTGGAAATTATTGGAACGAAGAATTCCGGGACGCGTTTGATTAACACATCTTTGAACTTACACAAATTTTAACTTTATCCTTAATATTTAAGAAAAGAAGCAATTTTGTTATGTATAAATGCAAAATATTACATCTATAATCCAGAAAATTCAGAGTAGAAATGTTCGAAAGCAAAACCAACCCACCAGTATTGTCAGTCCTGCTCTGTAATGTGTACAGAGTTTAACAAATTGAACACACCCGTGAAACGTAAACTGTTTTTGTAAACAGGGCACGAGCTCTGTTATTGTTAATGTTTACGATTCACCGGGTGTGTTCAATTGTTGAACTCTGCACACACCACTGAGCACGGACTTACAATACCGTGAGTATGTTTTTCTTTCGAACATTTCTACTCTGAATTTACTGGGTTATATTTTTAATATTTTTCATTAATACACAACAAAATTGCCACTTTTATTAAGTATTAAGAATAAAATTAAAATATGTGAAAGCGCAAGGATGTGTCAATCCAATGCGTCCAGAAATTCGGGGTTTTAATAACTTCGAGATGAAATAAGATTTTTATTATATTTTAGTATGAAATGCTATATCAACATACAAGTTATGAAATTATACAGAAAATTTGAGAAAATATTAACTTCAAATCTGTGTCCAAGCACCTTTAAATTTCATATAACACTGATCATTGAAAAAAAAAATGTAAGAAATCAGTAAGGTAATTTTCTTGAACCAACATACTATGATTTTTAAACAAATTTTTGCCTTAAAATTTCTATTTTGTGTTTGTTTTGTGATTCAAGAAAACACCTACAGATTTTAAAATAGCGTTGGTTGATTAGACAAATATTCTTTAAATATTTCATATCTTGTAAAATTAATACACAGTTATATTTAGGTCGTCATTTAGTTTCCACAACCTTTATACTCTTCGACAATGGTACTTGGTAGTTAAACTAAGGGTGTGATGATTAGGTATCCGGTAAAAGCATTGAATTTGTTGAAAACGAAATAAAACGTATAGTTGCATCTAAGGCAACAAGTTTGGATTGTATCTCTGTCAAACTTTAAAAACTTTCCTCAAACATTGTATATGATATTCTTGCATATATATTCAATTTTTCTATATCTTCATGTACATTTGCAGCTGACTAGAAAAAAGTGTTGTAATTTTTTTTTTCAAATCAGGGAATGAATATTTATTTAACAATTTTCGGTCTGTATATTTTTTTAACAACTTTCGGTCTGTATCCATTTTACCCTTTTTCAGAAAAATTTTGGAGAGGCATGTTTTTATTTCATATTATGAGTTTTTCCATCTTCTATCATGTTAACACAACTATAAACTTGACGCCTTAATCACATATTATTATAGAAAGGAATTTAGACTCACTTATGACCATATACAGACGACATTATTATAGAAAAGTCATTCTAGTGTATAAACCATTACATGGATTAATGCCAGATTTTTTAAAAATGTTATCAAATATGTATCAGAAGTTAGCCAAGCAAACAAGGAATTCTAATTCTAATGCACTGTATGTATCCAGAATAAAGACTGAGTATTACAAAAGATTTTTCAGTGTTTGAGGTAGTAATATGTGGAATGCCTTGAGTGAAAGTATTAGAAATTCGACAAGTATAGTATGTTGTAAGATAAATTATCTTAGAGACTGTATAGTCATACTTTTTTCAATTTTGTTTACTACTTGTTCATTTTATATCCACAATTACTTTATTTAGCTTATAATTTCCTCTAACCTATGTTCTAATACTATATGTATGGTATATGCAGTACCATATTGAAAACTAGCATTGTTGCGAAATATGTCATTCTGGATAAATAAAGGCTTTATTACTATTGTTCTTATATTTTTTCAGACTCACTGCAGCTGTATATTTGTATATTGGATGAGTCATAATTTACAGACATGTCGATAATGTATATCGAACGTCTGCCTACTTAAAAAAAATTGCAGTTATGATGAACATAATGTAAGAATAGTTCGAGTACAAATATTTTCTTCTAGAAAATTTTTTACTGTATGCTCATTGCCAAACTAGATGAAAAGAAATGTTATAACTGTAACATTTGGGGGACGGGGGGGGGGGGGGGGAGAGATACGGAGAGGTTCACAAAATTAAAAAAAAATACTAAAACTACATACTCTATCGGAAACTCAATTCCTGCATTTAAGGCATAATTTCACTAAGATTTCAATGATTTGACAAAGACAGAAACAGGAATCCCTATCTAGATCCACCTAAAAATTTAGGTCATTTTTTTATTACAAACAATTGCATAGAGATTTGTTTAATTTTTTTTCAGATATAACATAAGGACAAATAGGCAGTTAAACAAGGGAAAAAATTGACCGCTTTCCATGTAAAATCAATTTCAGAATCCCTTCGCCTTATGTTTTTTCTTAAGCACACATAATTAAGCTATTCTAAAGAGTTAAACAAGCATCAAGCTTATATCAAGAGAGGTGTGAACGGTCGGCAGGGGATGCTAACTCTTCCTAGACACTTGATCCCACCTATGGAATTTCTAGGGGTCCGTGTTTTATGCCCTGTTCAAGATTACTATTGCTAGTTGGGTTTTTTTTTTTTTTTAGATCGATCACTGATCGTTATTTTTTTTCAATGGACACAGTCCTTAAACTTCTGGTTTAAATTTGCTCTGTTGTTAACCCACTTTTTATTTTTTATTTATTTATTTATTTATTTATTTATTTTGGTTATGTTAACAAATATCTTAGGGATTGGTTTTATGCAAGTTTAGAATATTTAGATGTTCTTTTATTCCTTGCTTATATATACATTATCCTCTTTAAATTGTATATGCATCATCTTCAAATTGCATTTGGACTCATACTGAAAAACAAAAAATAATATATAACAGTGGCACAATTCATTCAATAATATATTTATTCTTCACAGAATTTTTTTCATAATTCTTAAAAGTATGTTTGCATAAAGAATAGTACTAGTCTTATGATTTTTAATTATAATCATTTGTATTTCGTAAGGCTCCACAGATATGCGATGCAATTACCTGTTTCATGTCAAACATTGCGCAATCCTTTTTGTAAAGGTCATAGCCTAGATAAAACACAGTCAAAGGTTCTACACAAGTGTGATCATCTTCCTGCACAAATATAGGAAATCAACCAGGCAAAGCGAGCTAAAGTACTTTATGTAAGTGACAGATTCTCTTTCAATTTTTTTTTGTTGATGCCTATTTATTTAATATCTTTACTAAAAAAAGAAATCTTAACCACAACTTTCATCGTAAATATGTGTATTTTTACTCCGCTGTGCAACCTAGGTAAGAGTTTCCATCGGAATTTAAAATTACCTCTTTAATATTTATGACCACATTTTCATCGACGGTCAAATACAATATATATCTTCCATCTCTTATCTATACTTCATTCATTTTTACCCCAAACCATGTTATAATTTCATTTTATTTAAAACATCATACACTTGTGTATTTAAAAGATACGTCATACATACAACTTGAACTTCGATATCTCGAACACTGATATCTCTGATTTCTCGAATACCATGGATGTGTTCAAGTGATTTGGAAGTCCCAACCACTTATTTACCCTCGGTATCTCGAAGTTTTTTCTCGGTCCCATATATATATATATATATATATATATATATATATATATATATATATATATATATATATATATATATATATATATATATATATATATATATGAAATCTGAAGATAACGAGAGATATTATCTTCAAATATCCAATTAAAAAAATCAAATGGAGATCAATTGACATTTAGCAAGCATAATCAACTTCAACGTATTGCTTTCTTTTTTTCTAGTCTCACTTATCAAATAACGTGGTCTATGTGTATTTTCAGTATTTTTAGATGGGGAGCTTAAACATGGAAAGGTTGAGAGATTTACCTTGGAATTTTCTGGCTATTCTTCTTTTTGTGTTACTCGGTCAACACACGTGTAAGTGTAGTCCTAAAAATACTCGTATTATGTTTGTGACCTTTTTCCTCCTCATAATTATATGATTGTAATAATTCTTAGCTAAGCCTCTTGTATAAAAGCTAATTGATATCAAAATTGAAGAAATCGAGTCAGAATTTTATTAAAGTTCATTTCAGTTCATTGAGGAAGGTTACGTAGGACGTTACAAAAGATCGTACGATGTCAGATCATGAGCCAAATTTTTTTCAAATTTTTTCATGATTTTCAAAAGATTGACATCGAAAATTTAAGCATTTATTTGAACAAGCTTCAATGAGATTGTATCGATGAATACTAGAATTAGGACACACAGGACTCTACTGTTACACAAAGGGAGCTAACTCTTTCTTTTAAATTGTTTAGTATATTTTATTTTGAGGGGGGGGGGGGGGTCTTTGAGATCGTACAGTTTCAATTTATTTTGTCTGTGTGCTGCTATATACAACCTTCTCATGTCCAAATTTCAAAATATCTAGGTAGATTTCGTCTTCAGGTTGGACAAAGAAAAAAATGTATCATTTTTATTCATTTTTTTCCTTTTTTCAAATAATATTATAGAAGTTAAGTAATATATTTTTCAAGCAGTTTAGATAATAAAAGTGACAATTCACAAAATTTCTTAATATGATTAATTACGAAGTACCTGAAAAACTACGAACAAGTTAAACCATTAAAGATGAAGTGTTTTGAACATTAAAAAAAATCTAAAAAAAAAAAAACCAAAAAAAGTAAGAGAAATTCATCTTTAAAATTCTCTAATTGACGCTAGTATAACTACATGTTTGTAATGATATTAAAACCTACATGAAATCGGCCTAGGTAAGATCTAACAGCAAAGTTTCCAATTTTACAATCAATCATTAGCAAATATTTTTGGAATTGTATGGTAGAAGGTCTTTTTCGTATCAATTCATAAACTCATTCTAACCTATATCTTTATCGTAATCGACAAATGCTTGATATTCTTTTTCCCCCCTTTTCCAGATGTTCTATGTAAGTTCGCTTATTCTTTTACACTGGATTTTCATGGACCATACGCACCACGTGACACCTATAATACATCATGCTATGTTGAAACATCTGGTGACGACAGCGTATCAGATGTTGACGTCTATTTGAGTTTTGGTAGTATTACTTACTGCAACAACAGCCAAGTGGTACCGGTGGGCAGAAATCAGAGTTGTTCCGAAGCTACAGGAAAAAAAAACAGGACTACCTTCTATTTTTCACTACCAGGTACATTGTGAGACTTGCTTGTTATCCTGTGACAAAATCTGAATTTTATTGCCCCGTGTTTTCGAGGAAATGTCAATGTCTTTTGTACAATAGATAATAAATTAATAAGTTAATACTTTAAAATTCGAATTTGTTATTTTTCAAAAAAAAAATAATCCTTATCTAACACACATTCTGTTGAATTCTCTTGTATCATACTTATGATATGCATATCTTAAAAGTAGTTTCTTCTTGAAAGAGAAAGATGAGAAATCAAATATATATATATATAGAGAGAGAGAGAGAGAGAGAGAACAGATGTACTTGTCAGCTTGCATTTTTTATATCTTACTAGACCTCAGAATTAGTGACAGTGGCACATACTCCTGTAAAATTCACAACAAGACTACGGGGGCACTCAAAATCAGCATCCACCAGAATATAAGTGTTGTTGGTAAGTTAAAAAAGATCATTATTTAGGTTGTTATTCTTTTAAAGATTAATCATCACATGAAAATTTGATTTAATTCAAATAATTTTGCAAAAAGAAATTAAATTTTCAATAAAATGTAAACAATAACATCCTACTTTGTGAGACGATATTTGATAGCCTTTTAACTCGACAATTCAATAAGGAATAAAAGCATTAATCTCAGTGAGAGTTATGTGTTATCAGATTATGAGAGAGTGAGAGAAAGGAGAGAGATTTAAAGGACAGAAGTATTATGGATGGCAACAGTATTTAATGTGTGAATAAACTTTTAACAAAATTGCATTGTTTTCTGCAGACCCGTCTAGTATAACAACTCAATCGCAAGGCCCTGTAACAACCACACAAGGTAATATTTTATATTCTCTTTATTTCATTTTCATTTTTCTAACCTATTAATGTCCTCTTCCTATCTTTACCTTTGGTACAGAGTGCATGTACTATTACATAAAAACATACATACATCAATATTTACAAGGAACCCCATACTTCATTAGAATTATTGCTTCCATGTACAGAGTGCATGAAATAGTTTTTATTATGCGCCCGTATTGAAGGTTCGGAGATATATAGTTTTGCCTTGTCCGTCCGTCTGTCTGTCTGTTTGTTTGTGGGTTTGTCTGTTTGTCCGCAAAAACGTTAAGATTGCTCATAACTTTTGAATGGTTAGAGCTATGACTTTCATATTTCACATGTGTATTTCTTGTGACAAGACCTTTCTTTGGGTACCATCATATTTCACCTTTTCACCTTGACCTTGGAGTTTGACCCAGTTTTACAAATTTTTACCCAATTTTAAACTTGGCCATAACTTTTAAACAGTTGCTGCTGGGACTTTCGTACTTCACATATGTACTCCTTTTTACAAGATCTTCCTTTTGATACCAACAAATTTGACCCTTTGACCTTGACCTAGGAGTTTGACCTACTTTTGAAAAACTTTAACCTTGGCCATAACTTTTGAACGGTTGGTGTGAGGGCTTTCATACTTCACATGTGTCATTCTTGTGACAAGGCCTTACTTTATATACCAACAACATTGACCCTTTGACCTTGACCTAGGAGTTCGACCTACTTTTGAAAAACTTTAACTTTTGTCATAACTTTTGAACAGTTGGCGCTAGGGCTTTCATCCTTCACATATGTATTTCTTGTGAGAAGGCCTTTCCTTGGGCACCATTAATTTTGACCATTTGACCTTGATGTTTGACTTGCTTTTGAAAAACTGAAACCTTTTTCATATCTTTTCAATGATTGCTGCTAGGGCTTTCATCCTTCACATATGTATTTCTTGTGAGAAGGCCTTTCCTTGGGCACCATTAATTTTGACCATTTGACCTTGATGTTTGATTTACTTTTGAAAAACTGAAACCTTTTTCATATCTTTTCAATGATTGCTGCTAGGGCTTTCATATTTCACAGGTAAAATCAATCTGGACAAGACTTTACTTTGGGTACCAATATATTTGATTTGGATTTGAGAAAGTTTAACCTTCGCTATAAGTTGTCATACAGGTGCATCAGTGTTTCACAAACACATCTTGGGTTGTTTTTTTTTTTTGGGGGGGGGGGTGGGTGGGGGGTAAGTTTTTGTGCATTTTATCACGTTCATTAAATACATTTGTTTATTTTTTTGAGTGTCTATCATTTATACTATTATTTGTATAATAAAAACACAAAGTGTAGATTTATATACTTGTAGAAATCGATAATAACTTAAATGTAGTGTTAATTTGTAAATGTTGCCATGTATCATTTGTCGATTTAGCAATCATGAATGATAAAATTGTACCATTGATCACCCACAATGTCATCCACTAATCATAGATACAATTTATACTCTCCTAAAGATACCGATATTATTTACAAATGTTGATTTTGTTTTTAATTTATAAGCTTAAAATTAGTCAATTCATGAGGACAATCAATGATGAATAAAATTAAATGCACTTACCACAGTATATATAATCAGTGAATTTAATATTTTTATTGGATTTTATTTGCTACATAGCACCAAAAAATCCCCATATGTCGTATACGTCAGAATGATTTCATTCATTTTACCCTTTATTCTTATTTTTTGATAGTGGACATTTGTGGAGGTGAACTTTGATACAAATAGCAATTATGCAATCGATTAAATTTTCGTATATTTTTTGTATATATGACATATGTTTTCTACCTACGTGTATACATGTATGTACATATACATATGTTAAATTATTACATTGCAAATTGAAATTTGATGTAAATTGAAATTAGAGTGAGACAGACAAATAGTTTTTGTTTTCATCCAAATAATGTCTGTTTTCATCCAAATAGTCACTGGCGTCATCAAAATAATCATGAAGCCGCTGTCATCACCCAAATGGTGTCTCTTTTGACATCCAAAATAGTCTTTGTCGTCATCCAAATATCTGGTTGCTGTCATAATCCAAATAGTGTCTCTGTTGTCATCCAAATAGTCTCTTCCGTCATCCAGATAGTCGCTGTCGTCATCAAAATAGTCACTGTCGTCTTAAAAATACTAGTATATACTAACGTCATCAAAGCTTACTTTATCCTAGATGCCTCATAAACATTTGGTTTGAGGTTCTTTAGCTTAGAAATATTAATTTTATTGGGGGGGGGGGGGGGTGACAAAATTTAATGTACACTAAAACTTATGTAGTCCGGACACGGTTTCAAAGAAATTGGCCAGATTAGACAATATTTCGGATTAGACAAAATTTTAAGCAATTGAATTTACTGAAAGGTCTTAAAGTTCATCTCGTATTAGGCAAGAATTTGGAATACACAACATCTGGATTTGACAAGTTTTACTGTATATGTGCATGTCTAACTAGTATTTTTCTAACATTATATATATTTTATAACTTATGAAATAATATAATATATATATTTTTTATAGCTGACGGCACTGGAGGTTCCACGTCAATTCATACCCCAACCTTCTCAGCATTTCTGCTTGTGTTAACAGCTGTGGCATTATATGCTGATTTATGAATGTTCCTTTCTACATCATCGCAGGAGAAATCCAACATGCAAAAACAGATCAAACGCTTGCCCATAAGATGATTCTGAAATTATATTAGACTGTTCGTTGAAAATTACATTGTTTTATATAAACAAAATTTCGAAAAGTGATTGAAATGAAAACGGTGATGATAACGAACAATGTAAATTTGTGAAGTTAAATGCCATGATACACTTGACTGTTTCAAGTCCATTGGATAGGCAGGGTACCACCGAAAATACAGAGATGCGGGAAAATCTTTTTTTCCTATAGAGCAAAAGAATCGGATATTGTAAAATAAATCTTATTCCTGAAACTTTAAGCTGAAAGTCTCTATTAAAACTGGACATTTTATAGACGTAAACTTTAGAAGATGTACATCTCTTAAAAAGTGTGTAAACACATACGTCTATGTTTAAAGGTAACGTCTTCGCATCTCTTATTTATTTGTTTCAAATTAAAAAAAGTATTTCAAAAATGTATTTATTTTTCTGAAAATCAGATATAGCATTTTCAAAAAAATTAATAATAGGCAAGAGGACGCAAAATGCATAATTGGTTTTAGAATATAACATATCCTAAAGAATCTTAAATATTTATAAAATGCTTTCTTTGGTTGTTAGTATGGGAATTAATGTTCCAGCTGTTGCAGAAAAAATACATAACCCGCGTAAGCAATTACTGCAATATTAATTCCCATACTAACAAAAAAGTCGCCCGCATAGTGCAGTAGTTAGAGCGTTCGCTCTAGAGTCGCGGAGTAAGAAGTTGATCCTTACGTCGCGGGTTTGATTCCCAATGTGGGACGTGGAGACCGGTCATTCGGATGAGGCCGTATAAACCAAGGTTCCTTGTCGCAGTAGGTGTTGGCACGAAAAAGATCCCTCACTGCTAAATTTCCCTGAGTGCCGATTATAGGTCAAATATTTTCAGCTCTACATCGGCATGTAGTGGCGTCTCCATATGAGTAAAAAATTCTCGAGAGGAACGTTAAAAAATAAACAAACTAATTAACTAACAATAAAAAAGAAAGACATTTTATTGTTTATATTTTTAGACCGTTCAAAAAATCATCTAAAGTGGGATTAAGTAGATTAAATATTGTATACTTATTGATATGTACGTCATTGTACGTTTCATTGATAGATGAGCCACTGCTCAAGAAATCTTTACAGGGGGCAGTGGTTTTCTTAAGAAATAAAGGAGAAGATATTCAGTTGATGTAAATATTTATCAGTAAATCTATCACACTCCCTGGAGACATCATTTTTCATACTCCTAAATACATCTAAAATTTCATCTTCTGCCATATATCTCTCAAAACTCTCAATACTTACCCTTAAGAATTTTAATTTAATTTCAGATGCGCCAATAATATAATTAGTACAAATCTCTATTACCCTTAAACTTTCAGTAAGGCGTGGCATTCTCGACGCTACATAATTAGCTTCTCTTAAATGGTGACCTAGATTCCCATTGGTTGTTAGCTAATTAATATTTATAACATAATACAAACAAATAGAATGATGTCAGTTTGAATTATTTTGTATTATTTCATACAAGTAAAGAAAGGAAAACGCGAAATTGTGGAGTTTTAATCTTATGCTATTTTGTAGTGAAAAACAAAGGAAAATTATACTTATCACTTAAATATGTATAGACACTATGACGCATGCGTAAGGGCAGAATTAATTAAGTCACAGGCCACATGTCGATGGTCAAATATTTACTGTCGTTTCTCATAAATATTATAAAGATAAAATGAATGTGCAACTTATCATGCCATAAAAGCACTTAGCGTATGTAGAATGAAAGCCAGCTTGATTTTGCTGTACTTACTGTGATGACATCATTTCTTAGTTTGACACGCAGTTTCTCTGTACTTGAGGCGTGGATCAAGCTTTTATCGTAGCTTAACTTGTATAAATAAAAATAAATACGAAACACGCGTAGTCGGACCTTCTGAAATATATTAATCCACATTTTATTGTCAAACTAAATTGATAATGTGTAGACTTTATATAAAGCTGTAGGGAGCACATTTGTATAGTAACGTGCTAGAATGACAGCTAGGTCCAGCCCCTCGAAAATATCAAGAGTTCAACGATATCCGCTCCATAATAAATTCTGAATTTTAAACACGTGTACCTATTATTCTTACTATTCTGAAAAGTGCTGGGAGCTGGTTGTGCATTGTTTATTTATTCCGTAATGTAACATTTTTCCAATGCGTATCAAATTTTTGTCTTGAGTTTATAGAAAGACGGCTAAATTCTAAACAATTCCAGAGAATGAGGAAGTTGCTCCCAGCACTTTTGATGTGAAGGACTTTGACTTAAACAAAACAGAATAAATTTTATAACGGAAAGATGCCCGTATATCGTTGAACTTTTACGATCTTTGTAGTCGTACATATATTTTCCAATTTTAAACCTGTCACGTGACAAACAGCTGTTGTAAGCGATGTCGCTTTGGCCGAACTCAGCAGAGACCCGATATATACAAGTGCAAACACCACAATTCACATTTATCAAAATTAATGCTGTTAAAAAAAATATTAAAATTGTATTCATTTTCCCTGAATATATTAACTAAAGGCGTATATTTCATGGGCGTACGCGTCCTTAACCTACATGTAGCTGCGTAATTTTGCCATTACGCATGCGTCAAAATTTAATTTCAATGAGCTTCGCTTAGCGTTCACACGGAGGTAATGCGAAGTAATTTAATGCGCAGTAAATTAATTCGAATTAAACTAATTCGCATTAAATTACCCCTGTGAACGAGATTCAAATTTAATTTGCAGTAACTTACGTTTAATTTAAAATAAACTCTCCGTGTGAACAGGGCATTAGTTAATTATTTGTATGCCCAAGTATTCTACCCATTCCCACATAAACTTTTACCTTTTCCCACTTGATTTTCTAAAATAGGGAATAGGTAGAATAAACCCTTCTAACATTGGTCAAGTAGTGCTTTCTATGCAATATATACCAGCAAAATATTGCAATCTGATTGCCGGAAAAATGTAGTTGGGAGCTCCTATCTTTACCGTCAGAGTAATGTATAACAAGTTTCCATATAAAATTGTCATGAATATGAGCGAAATTTATACGTGAACGGTGCTTCATAGTTTCAAGTGTGGTGTTTAGATGCTTCAGCGTCTGACATGTTCGAAGCGTTCCGAGATCTCTCCGTTTCGTAATGTGACATCGTGTGATCCGAATGATTAATGAACAAGAGTATGTATTAATTATATTGATGAGCATTTAGGAGGGTTAAATATATGTTGCATTCATTGCGACTGCGGGTCCAATGTGTTTTCTTTAAGTGATGGTCATGAATATCTACGAATTTTTACGGAAAACAAGAAAACTCTCAATGTTATATCTTTTTTCAATCTTTAATAATGGTAAACCTGGTATGCTAAACATCGATTTTTCCTCTTCGGTAAATGATTATTTTTGCAAATGGACATCTTAGTAATGATCATTATCTAATGTCGGCCGACTAAAATAATGATAATTAGGTAAAACTGCAGACATATATATATCTGACAAGTATAATACAAGAAAAAAATTCCAGGCCTAATCGACATAATTTTCCTAACCAGTTGAAAGAAGCATAAGGACCTATATCTCTCGAAGTCGATGATTTTTCCTTGTCCCTGCGACTGAAAAAGAAAGATTCAGATAAATCTTTATTTTAATCGATTGTATTGGGGCGTATCCCCAGTATCAGCCCTGTGAGTGTGTGTGGGGTGGAGGGAGGGAGGAGCTGAATAGGCTGGGGGATGAAGTCATCTGAGAAAGTATTTTTCGTTACGATTAATGATTAGAATTGATATTTAAATTACAAATATTCTTAGTCTCTGGTGTGTGAAATATTAGTAAAGCCTGAGAATCAAGTCATATGAAGCATTGCAAGCTTATTTTAGAATGTATTTATATTAATAACATCTTTTTCTTTTCTTTTTTTTTCTTATCATGATTCTTTTTTTTTTTTTTTTCAAAGAAGTAACCAGGATTTATTATGAATTGAAAATTTTAGAGGAGTGATCCTTTATTTCCGGAGCCCCCACCCCACCCCACCTCCCTCCCCGCCCTCCTTTGAATCCGAACACTGAGTCATTTACTAAGACACAGTTAATATGTAATTGTGCAAGTTCGCATTATATCAACCATTTCTTAGGTCATAGCCTGGATAAAAGTAAACGAGCACTGACCCAGTCTATATAATAAGTAAAGGTTCTACTTAAACTTGACTATATTCCTGTACAAATACAGTATAACAACCAAGTACCCACAGGATTTATGTTTTTTCTACTTTTATAATTTTTGTGAAACCTTTAAATATTGAATATTTGTTCAATTTATCATTATTCATGTTATTGCTACTTTTTATCATGTTAAACATCTTGAACTCAGCTATACCCTAGCTATATGTGCGTCTTGGATGAAAGTAACATGAACCTATCTATACCCCCTTAAGCTTTTAATCCATCGCTAAAGGAACTTTTCATCTTTACTGTAAACCTTCTTATAAGTTTATTTTATTTCAAAAGAAGAAAAGAGAAAAAAGAAAGAAAGAAAATGAACATTTTTATTTAGAAATTTGTCACATATACCGGTAATTCGACAGTAAGCATAGTTAACATCATTTATTTCAATCATACATGTATGTTATCTTCTTTCCAATCTTAATGATATTATTACATGGTCTATGATTTTTTTTTTATTTTCAAGAAGTTAAAGGGGCAACATATAAGCATGGCGAGGTTAAGGAACTTCATTTGGCAATTTTATGCCACCATCCTTCTTGTGTTATTGGATCAACGCACACGTAAGTGTATAGAATATAGTTTTACTCGTATTAATTTTCTAACGCTTTTACAATTTACTCATCCTTACTTATGTTTTGTACCCTTATTAACTGTGTTTTATCGATATCGCGCAATTGTATATGTAACTAAATTTACCGCAATGAATAAATATATTCATTGTTAATTATCAGTTTTATTTATTGTCGTAAATTTAGTTATCTTTCAAATATTCGTACGAGTGAGTATATATCAATATATAAATAAATAAATAAATAAATAATATATATATATATATATATATATATATATATATATATATATATATATATATATATATATATATATATATATATATATATATATAATTTTATATAAATATATATATATAGAGAGAGAAAGAGAGAGAGAGAGAGATCCACAAGAACAATAACTCGTCTTTTGGAATCGACTGACAAACATGTCTTTCGGAGCTCCTCAAATTCCTGTTACATTGTAAGCAGTGGTAAATTCATCTTTTTGAATGATTGGAGGTGCATGTCCTGTAGATGTGCAATAAACTTTTGGAGTTTCAATTTCATCCTGGGCGCCAATAAGGGGTTGAAAAACGACCGTTTTCTGAAAGAAAAGGGACATATAGAACTTCTCTTACATTTTACACAGTATACATGGTATAGCCATATCATCTTTTGGAATATGATTGGTGATGTCCTGTAAATGTGCAATAATGTTTCGGAATTTTTCTAACAAAAGAGGCGTATGGGCTACCAATTCATCTGGGTCTTAGTATTTTATGATTTATTTAATTTGATACAGTTATGTATATGTAATACGTAAATGTACGTAAAATAACTATTATGGCTTCTTCGAATTCGCAAGGTAAAAAGGAGAGTACATTTAGAAGCATACACTTGACTTAGTGCGGGTATTACCGTCTTATGATTGAATGCTTATTGTTTAGTAATGCCGAGTCAGCTTGTATTATGACATTATTAGTTAAAATTGTTTTTTTTTATTAAAAGCAATTCGTACAAGAAGTTCTTTTAAAATAATAACTTTAATTATAATACTGTAATTATACATATGTTGTGTACTGTACAAAGAAAGCATCAATTTATCCTTAGAATTTAACTCGATAAATAAAACTATCTATTAGACACAATTGCAAGTGCATTTCTAGTACCTTCCGAGATCTATATTCTTGCAATGGATAAATCACAATATTTCTCTGCTCAGTAGAAATGGTGGTCTACGGTCGAAATCACTCCTCACTTGCCGTGAATCCTAATAAATAAGGAATCGCAGTCTGGTTTGTTGGGTATTCCAGGGTATTAACGGCGGTAGGAAACGTTGGATAATTTGCATAACGGGCGAATAAATTATTCCACGTTCCCAAACTGTCGTTAATGTCCCTGGCATACCCAAAAAGCCAGACAGTGATTCCTCATATTTACATTTATTATGTGAAATAAAAATATAAATAAACAAAAAAAAAATACTAATATAGATCTGAAATACACGAGGCATTCCATATTTATTGTCATAGTCCCCGCCCACTGACATCATACACAATGACATGCATGCAGCCGCGGGAAAAATTAAAATGCATATTTATTCATGCATTTGACCTTTCACTTGGCGAAATTTGCATACAGTTGTAATTATTGAATACAATGTAACTAACCTCTCAAAGACTTTCAAAGAGTTATCACACAGAAAACAGTTGGAAATGTAAATATTCACATATCAACATACACTAAATCCATAATTATAGTATCGCAGCTCTTTGATTGGCTCAAAGTAGATCATACAGGTATTAAAAAAAAGAATATCCATTAGATGTTGCTAAAACGAAAAAAAAAGCATTAGAACAATTGTGACAATAGTGATGACATCACAACGATAGTTGATATCGACTCGTGTTTCCATTAAAAATCATACTTCAACTTCTATGTGTTCATGTGACCACTGTAATTTCATAATGGATATTACGAAACATTGCCTTGAATGTGAATTGCTTATAATGGTAGCATAGATGCTTTGTATGTTTTGGGGAAAATGATCAAATATGATAAAACAAATATAGCCTATTGATTCGATAAAATACTTCTATATATCAACCTCAGGGTGAAAAATTCGCACTTTCTGCTCGGTAGATCTGCTTTCTCTGAGGTTGATATATCTAGGGATTGAACTTATCAAAAGGCTCCCTTTGTTATCAACTGTATATTCTTATGTTTCCGGATGTTTTATGTAAGTTGGCTTACTCCTTCACATTGGATTTTCCCGGGGCTTACGCACCAGGTGACACCTATAATACATCATGCTATGTTGAAGCATCTGGTAATCACAGTTTGTCTGATCTGGATGTTAATCTGAGTTTTGGCAATATTACTTATTGTCACAACAGCCAAGTGGTACCGGTGGGTAGAAATCATAGTTGTGCCAAAGCTACAGTACAGAACAGGACTACTTATTATTTCACGCTTCCAGGTGGGAAAATTTTTAATTTCTTGTCTTTTTTTAGAACGAAATCTGAATTTATTTTGAAAATCCTCTAATTTTGAATTTGGATGATTTTCTTCTAAACAGTTAATAATCAATAATTATCTGTGAAAAAGAATATGAATTGCGTAAAAATATATGTATACTCTGCTACAGTAGTGAGAAGAAAAAGATTCTACAAAAATTCAAGAGAAGTATACACGTATTTGCTTATTTTTGTACTTTCGTAGACCTCAGCATTGCTGACAGTGGCACATACTCTTGCAAAATAACACACAAGACAGAGGGACACAAATTGACTATCAGCCAGAATATAATCGTTATTAGTAAGTTAAGAAATCATGAGAATAGAAATAACCGTTGCTGTTTTAGCACAACGATTTGTCTACACACGCACAAATTTTAGTAATGTAATACATATGTATGTGTAGATGCATTTTGATATTCAGTAAGATTAAACATAACATGCAACTTAGACATTCAAAGATTTCATATATCGACTAAACTGACTAATTTGAATTTTTCTGTATATTTGAAAACTTATAGAATTATAAAATTAAAATATTGAAAAAATGGATTTTAAAAGCAAATTAATGAGAGAGAGAGAGAGAGAGAGAGAGAGAGAGAGAGAGAGAGAGGTCAATGAATAGATGGACGTTCTACGAGTTTAGTAAGCAGAGGCATAATGATTTCGAAGTGTTTAATGAGTGAACGAACTATCAACAAGTTTCATTAATTGTATTTTGCAGACCCGTCGACTAGTATGACAACTCAAAGTCTGCAAGTGACAACACAAGGTAATATTTTACTTTTAATTAAGAGGGCTGGTTGGTTGTGGCCATTTTCAGACTATATTGATCTCCTTTAGAAGAAGAGCTCCATATAAAGATATACAAAAATGATCAAATTTTAAAACTAAAATATATGAAATTTTTGTTTGCCAAATGATAGTTGACAGCTTAAGATATCATATCTAAAAAAATAAGTTATATCTGATGGTTAATTTGTTGACCCCCCAGCCTCCTTAATTCTCTTCATCTGTAGGAATCCCTCTCTTACATGTTTCTTTTTTGTTTAAAAATATAAAACTATCATAATCACTCATCTAAATGATGTCATTGGCAATATGTGCCGCGACATTTGGTACATGCGCGTATTCCCATCCATGACAATCAGAATTTTGTTTATTTTATATACGTGTTATGTCCCAATTAAATGAAGGCTTTAATGGTTTTAGTGCAAAGCATAAATGTAGGGGAAAAGAAATGAAAAGACCTCTGTTTAGATGATTTGTGATGTTAAGAATTAAATTTATTGTCATAAGCAACATGAAAGGTAAAATTCCTAAAGTGATAAAATTTAATGTTTTAATTGCAGATGGCACTGGAGGATCCACACCAATTCATACCCAAGCCTTCTCAACCCTTCTACTTGTGTTGGTAGTTGTAAAATGTTATGCTGATAAATAAATATAATTTTTTTCATCATTCAAGATGAAATCTATATAACATGCAAAATAAATCAAAAACATTTGAAGAATCTGAAATTATATTAGACTGACTGATGAATAAGAAAAATGTTGTTAATACTGTCAAAATTTCCATAAGAGATTGAAAAACTTTTTTTTAATTCTACTTTAAGAAATTCTACTGATCTGTGTAAACAGTTAAATGCAATGATACACTTGACTGTTTCAAAACACTTGAGTAACCAGGACACATGTGCCGAAAATACAGAAATACAGGGATTTTTTTTACATGTGTTTTTTTTTCTTTAGAACAACACGATTGGATACTGTGAATTAAATCTTATACCTCAAATTTTTAGCTGAGATATCTCCATTTATGATCCTCAAAAATGTTTTCAACGTTCCCTTTATTTTTTGTGAGTAAATCGTCTTGTGACGAGCTATTCATATATTGTTGTAAACACTTAAGCCCCTATGATAAATACAAGAATATGTATACTTATTTCAAACATAAAAAATGTTTTTACTTATTCTTAAACATGGTATTTCTGTTTGGAAACGGAAGGAATGCGCCTTTTTAAACAAATGTGTATAGATGTTTATGTTTAAATGTTCATAACAATGTAACGTAATTTGTGAAGTTCAAAGCATGTTTGTTTATCTTTGGCTTTTGTATTGCATTAAAATAAAGTAATCGCAATAATAAATGATAAACATGATTTATTTATTTATTTGAGGATTGAAAGCTCATACTTTTCTTTTGTTGTCTAAAATAAACAATATTGTAACAGTTCCTTTTGATTACATACAGAAAGAGGTATGTGATTTCCTCCTAAAAGATTTTCTGTCCTTTTCATAAAAATTAATTTAGCAAATATTTTTCTACAATTATCCCCTTCCAAGGAGAAACCTTAGCATTCTGTATGTTTTTCCTCAGAGCCAGGAATATTAATTTTTAGAATCAGGCCCCAGGATCATGAAACAGACTTAGACTTAAGTCAAACTTTCAACCTCCTGTAAAATGTTTATTAAGTATTGAATCAGCCTCAAAATTTACAGATAACAACAGGTTCATAAAGCATTATTGAAAAATATTTTAATTTTAAACTGACTTCAACAACGCTTTAGTCCAACAGAAAGATTTTGATTAAAGCTTAAGATGTTTCGTGATCCTGGGGCCAGATGTAAAATCGAGGATATAATCTCAGAACAGTTCTCAACAGCGTCAGAAATTTTAACAACCCAGGGCCATTGACTTCCAAATAAATTTAAATATTGAAATCTAACAATGCAACATCTTATGAGTTTCAATAAAAAAAAATGAAACATATGAATGGAAAATGAAAAATTAAATCTGAATCACGTACAAATAATCAAAAGGTAATCATTTCAACTTCAGAATGTGGGAAAAAAGAAAAGAAATTTGGATTTGATTAATCAAAACCGTGCTTGATGACTCTATCATTTCTCGTTGGATCAATATACTAGTAATACCTAGACAGGGTTAGTACACTGTTTACGAAGTTATATTCAAAATACCTTAAAACAGGAACACAACGTGGTTGTTTGTTCAGCAATTTTCAACTAATTCACCCCTACTAATGTTATTGTGATTTAAATTCAAGGCACGTGGTGTAGGTAGACCCATTCAAAGGTTAAAGGGTAGAACCGGTTTTATAAATAAAAATTGGCAGTAAACAAGAAATTGCTATAATCTGTTTCTTTTAAAACATGTGCTATAAAAACGTGTTTCCAGACCTTTCTGAAAGATTTTTTAAAGGATTTTAAACAGAAATGGGTGAGATTTGTTTACCTTATATGGCTATTGTTATTAATGCGCACAGAGGATCTTACTACCAATTACTGACCAATCATTAAATGAATAGCAACGTTAACTTGACACTTATATGTTTACATTTTACTTCGAACACGTGGTTCAACTCAATCTACGATCGATATTAAATGGATTGAAAATTTTTTTTAAAAAAATGTTAATATGAAAAAATACAAAGAAAGATGGCACGGGGGTGTGTGATTTGTTGTTACCTTGTTAACTAGAAAATGTATATAAAAAATGTAGTCTGTGCCACGTCCAAAACACAGCGCTTCAAGGTTAAGAAAGTCGAGTAGCATCCCTTAGGCATTTAAACAGTTAAATGGACAACAAAGTTTTTTTTTTTTTTTTTTTTTTTTTTTTTTTTTCATATTACAATACCCGTGATCATCTGTGTTTGGTCAGGGAACCCACCTGACAATTGTATTCACCGATAGTACAACAAAGGAATGCAGACGAAAATCGCCTTACAGTATGACTTTGAGAAACCTAGAATTCCACGTTTATTTAACATGTTACAAATGAATTGTTTGTAATTGTGAGCATGGAAATAATAGAATAAAAATGAACAGCATGGAAATACATACAAATGCATGGAAAAAAAAATGGTCTATGTGCCTTTTCGATCGCCTTGTTGCGTAAAATTCCTGTAGTATCCGTAGTAACCCACAATGCAATTCAACTCATTCATATTAAGCTATATATATATATATATATATATATATATATATATATATATATATATATATATATATATATATATATATATATATATATATATATATATATATATATATATATATATATATTGGTTCCTCATTTGCTAATCTAACGCCAAAAGATATAGTCCCAGTTACCATCCAATCATGTTTGTCCAAAAAGAACTTTTTAAAATACATAAGTGCAAAAATAATGTCATGAAGAATACTTACTGACGTTTGAATGAATTCAAGAGAAGCTGAAGTACATTTCTACAGATATTATTCAGTGGTGAAAAATGAAACGTAAGATAACTTTTCTGTTTACCATGTCTCTACATGCTAGTCACTTCCGTGAATAATTTACCTTATCTCCTTGAAGTCTCACTAGATCTCGACAGAGCTACTGTGTGAGCTACTGGGAACTCCTCGGATTTTATAGTTTGCAGAACATCGAAAAATAACATGTTCCGAACGCATTAGTAGGGGTGTAATTAATTGGACTGGTGTTTCTATTGCAAATACTCAAAAATCGTTGTTGGAAATTAATGGAGTATCTTTCTATAAATTATAATATACTTATAGCAAAGATTCACGTTTTAGCTCAAATATTACCCTTATATTTATAATAAAAAAAAATAATATCATGAACTCGATGGAATACGTATTTATAGTTGTGTTATGCAGGTAGCAATGTTCATTGGAGGGCTCTGTTCGATTGTGTTCGATTTGTTCTCATCAGCATATGATTCTACTGTGAAAATATTTGTGTGCCTGTGTTTATGGCTGTTAAATCTGCGAACCAAACTTGCTATTTTGACAAGATTTTCTCTGCGTAGAATGATGTAGATCCATGGGTCAACAATAGAGTTACTAATGGTCAGTCGCACAGCCAGAAGTTCCTCTGGACCATTTTTAGGATTCCTTGCACTGGCATTCATCAACATACGAACCTGCAACATAAAATCATGATATCAAGATACAAATTTGAAAAAAAAATATCATGATATCAATATAATAACCTGTAAGATAATATCATGATATCAACATATGAACCTTTTACAATATCATTGTATCAACATACGACAGTATCATTTTATTATTGTTCATTTTATAGACAGACAGTGCGAATCCACAAGATTATATTATTGTATCGATTAAATTTATTATATGGTTCATCCAAATTTGAACTTTTTTTGTCGCCCGTATGTTGAATTTCAGGCTTCCTCAATGTCCGTCAACAATCACAACATTATTGTAAAAAAAAGAAGAAAATCACCTCAATATCTCAAATCCCTGGATATCTCGGCGTTTTCTGACAGTCCTATCTTAAGCTTGTTTTATATATGGAGGTTGGTTTTACATTTATAACCTTAAAAACTCTTTTTGTATATAATTTTTTAATCAGAGACAGCCAACAGCCGAAAGGGAAAACATAGCTGGTAATTAATAACTTTTAGATAGCAAATTAAAAATACTTATATCACCAGCAAATGGTTTTAATGTCTCCAAGCTCATCCAAGTATATATGATGTGTAAACACATGTAATGTTATTCAGCCACGTTTTAGAGCGTCCAACAAAAATTGAGCCCCTCTAATCACTATCATTTTAAATTTCTTTGATATCTTACTTACAATTTGAATAAATCATAAATTTTTGAATTCAAATGAAGTAACTGGTTTTAATGATTATATATGTTTTCATGTCCATATTTTCGCAATTTGCATGCTCGAGTGAAAATAAATATTATCATAATTCCGTTCAAAAAACACGAATTTAATAAACCAAACTTTGATCACAAATATTAAAATGCATTGATTCATTCTCAGAAATAGCAAATGTCTAATACGGTTAAGTAAAAGATATTAAAGTTCAACTTCATCGGTGATAAATTATAGTCATCAAACGTACCTTCGCGAATCTCTATTTTCAGATTGTCAAAATACACCGAAATACAGGACTGTAATATTTTTTAGCTGTTTATGATCAATGTTTTGTCATTATTTCATCGCTCATAATGTTAAAAGTTTTGTAGAAAAGGAATCGATGAAAAACAGTAGTAACGAAACAGTCCCTGATCATTTGATTACAGATTACAATCCTTTAGAGTTTTTTTTTTTTTTAGGTTGTGTCAAGTATTACTTGTGCTAAATCGTCTTGTGTGCATCAGTTTTAATCATTTTGAGAGGGATCAGCATCATAGGTCAATTATGTAAAAAAAAAAAAAAACACTGATGAGAATCGATAGAAGAGAGAGAGGTCCCTTGTATTGAATTCTGCAAAAACTATTTATTTTTTACTGGCCACAAAAAACAATCAATATTTCCTAATATCATATTTTTTTCATTTCTTCGTGTATGGAATCTCTATATATTTTTATTTTATTCTTGTATCGAGCATGAAACCTGAATCGTGAAAGGCAATTAGGATTTTTAGTCCATACTGAATAAATTGAACTTCAATTGAATAAGTTTAATGACCCATTTGAAATTAGTTTACAGAGATTAAAAAACAGGCTTAAATATCAAAAAATCTGAGGGAATGTGCGTAGCTGAAAACATTAAGTAAAGAATGAAAGTGCACCAGATGGTAATAAAGAAAACGTGCACCAGACAGTAAAGATTGAACGTGCAACAGACAGTAAAGAATTAAAGTGCACGAGAAAGGAAAGTACACCAGAATGTCAAAGAAGACTTAGAGAAAATCCTTCAAATGGTAAATGGTTAACAGTTGTTGTTTTCTAATCATTAAACTATTCATTGCTTCCAAAATGTTCCAGGTTTAGCATCCTGGGTAAGGATAAACTAGTATTTTAACTTATCTTAAAAAAAGGATTACTCACCATTAACGGAACCCAGCAAATGGAAAAAAAGAGTCACTATCGAAAACAGGAATACAATGATGTAAATGTCATTTCTTTTTCTTTTGTTGTCGACAGTCGTTGAAACTGGTTTTCGGCAAACGGAATGAGCAACGGCTACGTTTAGAATAACTGTTATTAATAAAATAATAAAGCCAATGATGGAATATATATAAGTGTTCACCCTTTCTAACAGTCCCTTATTGGCAAAGTCTATAAAGCACCACGATCCTGGATAAAAGTTTTTGACTGACCCAATGCCTATAAGATTAAGAGAAGATACAGCGGCTGTAAATGTCCAAATCACCAGAAGCATTGTGTTAGC